GTCAATTGTGCATTTATTTTTAAGCGTTTAGAATCAAAAAACTGTGATGATAGGTAATCAACTTCTAGATGATTCTAAGGTTTCCAGTAATTTCCAATTTTCTTGGCACGACAATAAAGAAGATTACTTATTTAAAGCAACTTCCTTACGTCTATTAATATTCGTGATCATGATACAATGTTGAAGTTAAGAACTCTGGGAGTTTTCAGTAGAAAAATGATCACATCAACTATATAAGTGAGGATAGTTTGAGAATTGGGAATTATATAAATCCGTAATAATTTATTATCAAGGGAAAAAGTTGTGATTGACCTTCCAGTTCACTGAGAGAGACTAGCAGAAAAATTTACATGAAGAACATTAAAGATGCTCATAAGCCATAATTTTTCGTTGTTTATATGAAACGAAGTGAATTGCCGAGGTTAACATCAAAGAGATGCGTTTAATACGAGCATTTTATGGCATGACGAAGTAAAGGATGAGGAATTCATCAGGTTATTTTTGGTAATATATCAAATTCATAACGATCGTCATTAATGCTCACAATCGATTATGTGCTTGATCAGCGAATTGATGGGCAGTGAATATATCGAATTATAGGATGCAGTTCTATCCAATTCAATATGCACTTTTTCATTTCGTTACAAAGTCACTTACATACTCAGTACACCCAGTGAAGATATGATAAAGCACTTAGGAAAAGAAGAAAATATCCAATTTGCACATACTTGTTACTTTAGAGTAGGTATTTATATTATGAGAGAGTTCGTACTAATTAACGTTCGTACTTAAATTACATGCGATAAATTCATGCAATCAATTAAAATAATTAATGAACCTAATTCTCATTTACTTACAATTAACTTAAAGATTGCAATGATTATTGATGAGATTGATCATTAGCTATAGAAATAGTCTTTATAATTAATATCTTAATCAACTTAATCTATTATTCCTGTTTACATTCACTCACTATCATGTGATACATATAAATTGAGTAAACGTGACAATCCAACATCTGTTATACAAATGAGCTTGAATCTGTAATAAGCAGTAACCAAAAAAGTATTAAATTTCACAAAATATCATCAACTTTCTTCTTATAGCCTGAAGTAACCTGAAGTTCACTTAAGGCTGTCTTCTTTAGCTCATTTAGATTGATAAGTTGAAGTAATTGTCATTTTGACTGGATGTTACTAGATTTTGATAACTTATTAGGTTTGAGTTTGATTCACATCATAGCTTGATTACTGGCTTAATCGTTGCTTTTTATAAATAAGCGCCTTAGCCTGCCTGAAAACCTATAACAACTTTGTTTACCATCGGATGCATTCATTTGAATCTTTTGTTCTGAAGAGTATAAGGAGCTTTAAGTACTTAAACAAACACGGGGATATTCAAGAAATTTTTCTGATTTAATTTATGATCTTTTAAATCTGTCTAATTAATATTTATTGCCTGTTTTCTTAACATTTCTTCGAGCTTGTTATGTCGAACGTCATAAATATCTTTAATTCAATTTATTTAAATATATTCAAATTAATTAGTAAAAACAACATTCGTAGAAGCAGGCACAGTGCATACATATTTGATGTAAATTTACGCATGGGAAAAGAGGTGCAAAAAGAGAATAAAACGATCAAATAACCAGAAAGCAAAAACATAAACAGACATTAAAAGTCAGCATGAAATTGCACTATAATTAATGGCAAAAAATAAAATCACCTCTCATAGCGAGCGACAAAAGATCACGCAAGAAGAGTTAGGTAACTGTCCATTTAAGAATATTTCTCTTTATTTTTTTGGGGATACGGTAAAACCACACACAAAACGACATCGTCATAAAATTTATTTTTAATGACTTTTGTGTACAAATAAAAAAAACTTACAAGAGAAACATTAAAGTTATGATTATTTATGCTAATTTAACCAAATGATCGCTTCTTAAACGAAAATTAAATTCCGTGAACGAGAAAAAAGACGTGTAATTAAATTATTTGTTTATTGTTTTTTAAACATTTTTATGGAACCAAGATCCATATACCCAACTAAGTTTACAGAGTTCATTGAGGATGAATTAAGTTAAGGAATTTTTTATTATTTTTAACGGATTTCAAATTAATTTTTTTAACATTCAAGAAATAATTTTTTTAAGTGACGTGCCAGAATTCAGTCATAAAATTGCCGAAAGCTTTGCTGAAATTAGGTTGGCAAATTTATTTTAGTTATAAAATGTCAATTTAAGCAGGATATGAACAAGATCAAAGTTTAAAATGATGTTTGAGAATGAAAGTTGATCAATTAGGTTTCAAATCTATTTTTTTTACCGCCAAGCAGCTGTTGTTTTCTTTGTTCTAGTCTGTTCTATGATCCTTAATTCTATTTCTACTTCTCATTATTCTTTAATTTTATTTCAATGCATAACAATACAATCCATCCCCCAATTTAAATATCCCTCAATCTTGAAAAAAAAATGTTCAGACCCAAAAATTTTCGATTCCTAAATCATAAACATACTTCAGTTCTCACGATTTTTCAATAAATGCTCATGTTAAGTTTAATAACTTTAATGTACATTGAAATACAAAACATGGAACAAGCTGTATTTGAAAAAAATGTTAAGCATAAAAGTTTTGAATGCCGAAGAATTTAATCTGCATATTTACATCTCAGTGATATCAAATTTCTAATTCGTCTGCCTGTTTATCGATAAAATGAGAATGTTTATGGCGATGACATAAGTTTTGAGTATATGGGATCGTTAAAAATCGGTTTAATGTTTACTAAAAGATTTAGTGGACTTTCAAATTTTCAAAGAGCCAGCTTTTTTGGCATTGACTATAAAATGCTAGATAAAGTGATCCAGTCAACAGACAAAAAGATTGAGCAAAACTCAGTGCGAAAAAATTCAAGTCAAAACAACTTTTCATCTCGTTTTGTTAATCTCCTGCAGATATTTAATAAAACGACATCAATTTAAATGCACCTCTTCCGAAAAAAAAGAATCAAAACTTTCTGGGTGGCATCTGCTTTTATTTCACACAAAAATCGAGAGAAGAATTGATAATGTGAATGTTGTAACGATTGAGGAACGATTTAATTTTAATAATCCTGATGTTTATATCATGCAAAAAGTATTATTTGCATTTAAATTTAGCAATCAACACTCTATACGATGGGAATATCTTGACTCGGTCTTGAATTTTTAATGAGGAATCGAAATATTTAATTTTCTTTTAAAATAATAGTTTAGTGTCATGACATGATGCAATAAATAAGATTCTTTATAGACTACTGAACATCTGATTTACATATTTATGTGGTTAACAAGGCTTTTATGCAGAAAGAGCATTACCACATCCTCAAAAATGTTTAATAAGACTTCATGTACAATATTGGTTTGCTAAATTGCATTAGGGACCGTTCACTTATTACGTTACGCAAAAAAACGACTTTTTTTACCCCCCTTGTTACAATATGTTACAACTCACAACCCCCCCCCCCCCCCTGAACGTTCATAATTTATTTTATTTTGATAATTTTTTTATTCTAAAAAGACGGTTAAATTTCTTTTGTATTACATCAAAATGCTGTATTATATTATTGGATTGAGATATAAAGCAAAAAATTTTTTTTTTGAAGAAAATCAGAAACCAAAATGAATGAAAAAAATCTGTGATGAAAAACATCATTATTTTTGATGATGAAGAAAATTATGATTTTTATCATCTACGTAAATTATTACGTAAAATTTCATCACGTAAGAATCATTTTTACGTAGGATTTCATCACGTTAAGCAAAAAATGCAATAAAATCACACCAAATGAATTAATAATGTAAATAATAAGAACAAGAGATTGAATAGATTAGTTTTGCTTATAAAACTTGTAAAGAAACATTTTATACGTCTTTTTTTGCTTTACGTGATGAAATGCTACGTAAAAATGATTCTTACGTGATGAAACTTTACGTAATAATTTACGTAAATGAAAAAAAATCATAATTTTTTTCATCATCAAAAATAATGATGTTTTTTAACCCGGATTTTTTTCATTCATTTTGGTCCCTGAAGAAAATTCAAAAATGTCATGAAAAATATTATGCCCGATCGAATTTTGGAAAATTCAATCAACTTTGAATGTAAATATCACAATGATGGGATCATGTTAATCATCATATGAATGACAGATTTAGAGAGATTTACTTTTAAACTTATGATTGATTTAATTTTGAAAATTTCCACAAATTATGATTGTATTTTAAAGTCTTGTAAACCAGTTTTCTATTGATTTGTTACTTTATATAACAAAAATTATGTATTGCTTAGCTATTAAAAGTGATCTGGACATTCATAAATCATTAAAAAGGTGGAAAATTTAAAAAAAGGTTTTTGGTTTGAATTTTTTAAACAAATTTTTTTCGTGAACTTTTTTTTAAAAGACAGACGACAGTTTGAACGTTACATACTTCTTGACACCCCCCCCCCCCTATTTTACATTTTGTTACAATTTTTCAAACCCCTCCTCCCTCCTAAAATGCGAACGTAATAAGTGAACGGCCCCTTATCTCCTGATGACTTGCCATCTGTGTGACCTTTAATAATATTTGCATTTTTGATCATTTTTGAATACTTTTGATCATTTTTGATCATTTCATCAGTACTACACCCTTGGTCGCTTCTGTACCTTTAAGCTTAAATTATTTGAATTAAATTTTTAAAATCAACTGGATCTTGAAAAACCAGCAAACATTCAGTCAGATCAGGCATTTTGCACACTTTTAGTCAATAGTATCTTTTAATGATCTCTTTAAACTCAAAAATCCAGATTCCAAAACAAACAAAACCTGAAAATCCAAATCATTTGATATTTGATCCAATATGATGCAACAATTGTTATTCATCTCATAAGATGAGTATCAAATTATTGGCAGACATCAATATTCTCTCGGATATCCGTTCTAAATGTGTAAGAAATTCATCAATATCTTTGTAATGCAAACAAAATCGATCAATATAACCTTAATATTTATTTTTTACAGGCAAGGTATATTTGATAAGCAATATAATTAATTTAATCTAGTTCTTAACAAGTTATGAGACCAAACAAAAAGTTCAAAAATAATTACATATTTTATATGCAACTACTTAGCCATGTCCATAAATTTTTCCTCCTTTTGACTTCCTGTTTAAACACTCCCAGATCTTTAGAAGAAGATGCGATGAAGCATGAAATTAAAAAATATAAAACTGTCAGCAAATTTCAATTTAAAGACTTTCATAGGCGGTCGACTTACTTTTTATATTGTTCTTGACTACATTATAATCAGCTGGTTTAATCAGTCTTTGTACGGAATTGTCAAATGCTAAGGATACGAGCCTCCGAAATAAATTCGATACTTCCTTATCATCTCTCGAGGATGTCGAAAAATATTCAGCATCAATTTCCTGTGCGATAAAACATGCGTGAGATTCAAGACCCTCGAGTGGCTTTTTTGGTAAGAGATCACTTTTAGTGCCAACAAGAAATCTTAGGGGATCACATTTGTCATTAACAGCTAATGCTTCTCGCATCCATTTTGCTGCATTGATAAGTGAGGCGGGTTTTGTTAAATCGAAAACAGCTACAATTACTGTGGGAATAGAAAGAATAGAGCGAGATACCGAAGGTGATCATGTTGTCTATTAAGCATTAATAGGGGTGGGATCCTCGGTTTGAATAAATATATAAATTCAGAAAATTTCAATTATTTTAAATTTATTCAAGAAGAAGACCCCCATCGTGAGCTTACCATTAACATCTTTATAGTACGGCCTATTAAGAATCTTATAATTATCCTCGCCAGATAAATCCCAAATCCCAATATTATATCCGACATTGAGAATCTCTAAATACGATGATTTGTAATCAGCATCGCGTGTGGCTTTATAGCAATGATCAAAAGTAGATGAAATGAATCGATTTATTAATGACGTTTTTCCTGTCTCGCAATCTCCTATGCAAACGATATTACATTGATCCAAAAACAACGATAAATCTGTTTTCTGACAAACAATCTTTGTTTTGTGATTAAAATCAACAATTTTACTGTAGGGCGATGAGAGCGTATAAGGCTGAGGCATTTTACAAATTTGATTCCGCTGATCATCACGTTGTAATTTTAACAACTTTCCGAATGAAGTTATTTTCGTTGCTTTTGAATCGTTATCAAATTGTTTATATTTGTTGTTGTTCATTTTTAGACTGCTTAATTTATTCACTTTATGGCACAGACACAGAAATAGAGTTTATTTAAAAATATAAATCCACAAGTAGTCAAACCGTTATGTTAATCATAAAAAATATAGAATTCACAGCAAAACACCTTCGACACACATGAGAACCAACCGTCTGCGTTAACGTTTCAATAACAAATGTTCTGAGGGTTTGTAGTAAGTAAGTAAATATATCAGCTGAACAGGAAATTGATAGTTTTTTTTCACTCTATTTTAATATTTCACGTACAGAATGTTTAAGAGTATTGAGCATTATTTTAAGGGGAACGTTTTTAATTCTTCTTATTCTCTTTTCACCATTTCCTTCGCGGACCCATGTGCCAATGTGTGCTGTACAAAAGGATACATCAATGCAGATGTTTTTGAGAGCTCTTTTCATTTCTTCTTCTTTTATGTTTTGGTACCATTATTAGGATCTCTCTTTTCATTAATTCTCCTTCTCCCATTTATTACTATATTCTTGTTATTTTAAGTTGTCGAGTGTCATAAAGAATTATTCGATAACAATATTCCCGTTCATTATTTTTTACGATCATCTGTATGATTTGGGCAAATCCACGAAGCTGTGGAATCACAAAAAATCGCATTGTAATTATTCCTCTACTTGGGTAAATTTTTTTTGAAAAATAGAAAACCGTTATTATTTGTTTACCTTTTTATTGAAAATAAACTGAAAAATTAATTTAAAGCACAGTTAATATTATTTAAAAGCCATTAAAAGGCATCGGAAACATCCATTTAATTAAAACTTAATTAATTATCGAAAATTGAATAAGATTTGAGCTCGTAAGTGTCACAAAAATTTAACGGAAAGTTTTAATTCAAATATTTTAACGGTTATAAAAAATTTGAACTAGTATATTTTGGTGGCAAAGCGTTTTGTATGACTCAGGAAGAAAATTTTCAAGAAATTAATTAATTTCTCAGCAAATTTCCACTGAGCATCTACATTTTGCTTAATTATATGATGCTCCAACATGAAAGGAATAGATCTTGTTGATCAATGTCGCTTAAAAACTTATATTTTTTGAGATAATTGAATTTTTAGATGTTTTCCGCTAAAATGTGACTCAGGAAGATTTACAAAAAGTCAAATTTCTCTTTAATTAACGATTATAGAGAAGCAATTTTTTTTTTAAGATCTTCTACTCACATCATTGCATTTATTAAAACATTCAATCTTTTTTAATAATGTGACATAAGAGAGAAATAATTACTTTAAATTGAAAAATTTCGGAAAAAAAAAATTTTTGTTTCGTGGATTTGCCCATTTACTAAGTTCTCCCACCATGACATCTAAAATTTAGGACTGCTGTTACCCAATATATCAATTTACTTTTCTGTTTAAGGCGCATAATTCAGTTTCTAACGTCTTTTAAAAATTCGAATATTCAACTGTTGTTAAAAATTTAAATGAAATGAACTGAAATGAACTAGCAGATTACTGAACAGTTTTTAATAAATTTCAAATCTCATAATTATGTTAATACTTTCGCATCACATTTTGGTTTTAAATTAACGTTCAAATCTGCGTTTTGACTCATTTTGATTAATTATATTATTTATGTTTAAAAATATATGAAAAAAGAATGAATGTGTATGAAAAAAATCAATCCCGCGAGATTGAATCCAATCTCGCAAACTTGGTTTTCTGTTAGCCCAAACTGAAGTCAAACTGCACATCACACAAAAGATGTGTCAAAATCAAGCCTTCTCAGGCTGTTGATCTGATCTGTTTGAAGGAATAATGAATTTCAATTCGATTTACACTCTACAGATGTCTACAGATGTTGGCTATCTAGTCAAAAAAAAAAAGCGTGCCAAAGGTTCGATTAATATTTATCTACACTCATTTTTCATATTTGTCTTTCTCCTGAATTTCTCAGATATCTCGATGCTAGAATAAACATATTCACATAAGTATATCTCTTGTGGTTTACGTTGACTGAAAATTTATTTAAATACACACATAAAGCTAGATAGTTTAAAGTCGAATGATTTATTTATATAATTCATTTATTTTTTTCGTTTTTTTTTATATTTTATTTTTTTAAAAAGAAAGAATAATCAAATGAAATTGGATCCAGAGGAAAGTTTTTATCGAGTCCAGGTTGATTGTATTTTAATGATATTATATTCAAACGCAATAGAAAGAATCACTCATAATTTTTAAGATTACACACTAAACTGTTTTTTTTTTGTAAATTATAAATAGGAAGGAATAAGCTACATTATGATAGTCCTTAAAATCAAATCTTATAGTTTTATAGGAATTTTATACTTTATCTCTCTTATCTTCGTATTCTACTAATATAATCATATAATTTCCTTCGATATTCATCATATCTTAATTTTTGTTTTGTGATTTTTTATGGACATAGACTGATTAAGGTCGTAGTCCAACAGATTATGTGTCACTCTTCCATAACTTTATAGTTTTGTCGTTTTCTAATGCGGCTGATGCGATAATATTCTCTGTCGGATGACATGCTGTGCATAAAACAGTATCAGTGTGCCCTTGAAGACGTTGTACAATTTCTTTGCTTTGTAAGTTCCAGATATAGACCATATTATCCTCACTTCCCGACACGATCCACTAAACGATGAAATAAAGAGTATTAATTATCTTATAAGAAGTTTATAGCATAAAGGATGCTTACCTTTCCACCAGTTACGGAGAAATTAGCAAAAATACAGTATCGTTCATTTTTATGTCCAGTGTACGTTTTCAGACATTTTCCCTTGGAATAATCCCATAACTTTAGTGTATTATCGAGTGTTGCTGCCAAGATGTACTTTCCATTTGGTGAGAATTTGACAAATGAGACTGGGGGATTGTCATCGTCAATAAGTGTTTTTAAACATTGTCCACTAGCTGTATCCCAAATACGACATAGCCCGTCATAACTTGAAGATACAATAAGAGATCCATCGCGATTGAAATGAACTGCTGAAACTGGATCAGAATGAGCTGGTAATGTTTTCAAACACTTTCCTATAACAATAATCAACTATTAGTCACTGAATTATACAATATTGGCACATACAACTTACCAGTTCTCACATCCCATATTCTGACAGACTCGTCAAAACTTCCAGACACAATCAGATTACTTTGTGGATTAAAATTACAGCAGAATACATAATTGCTATGACCTTTTAAAGTTTTCAGGCATTTGCCGCTACTCAGTTCCCAAATTTTAAGGGTCTTGTCATCGCTAGCGGTTACTAGTAAACGACTATCACTGCTCCATGCTACGTCACTAATTCCTAACTTGTGACCAGCTATAGTCTTTTCAAATTTTCCATCATAAGCTCCCCAGATTTTAATTAATTTATCGGCAGCTATAATAAAAATCAAAACAATGAAAGGTTATGTTAATGGATGGAGGGAAGTTCCTCTTATACTCAACAATCACAAAACTTACAGGAACTTGCAAGCCATTCTCCATTTGGACTGAATTTGACAGCTGAGACTGCTTTTGTATGGCCGGCTAGTGTAAATTTTAATGTATAATTTGGTTTCTAAAATGAATTAATAGAGGATATATAGCAAATAAGCTAAAAGTACAACAATGAAAATGTAAGAAACTTACCAAAGACGCAGATTGACGATTTGATGATTGTTGCTGCTGTTGGGGCTGTGGGTTTTGTGCTGGCTGTTGTAACTGTTGCATTGGTGGTCCTTGATGCATAGGATGTTGAGGCATTTGACTTGGGTGGGGCATCATCATCTTGAATTAATAATTTTGCTTTTTCTCCTTTTTTTGAAAATTTATTTCAACTTTTGTTCGGCTCAAATAATGATTTTATGCTGTGAAATTGAAAGATATCAATTCACAATAACATATTATATGATCTTATCAATAGAAACTAGCTTAAAAACAGCTCAAAATGCAATTATTTGTTGAAGAAAAATATTTTTAAAACTTTTGTTTATATGAACGCTCTTATACATTCGTTAAGTATTTCAATCCACTTTCTTCTTATTCTGCTTATTATCCTCACTTTGTTTTACTGACTGACTGCTATTATTGCTAATATATCTTCGTTTAAAATGGATAAATTAATGTTTTTCAATTTGATGATCTTTTGTTTACTTTTCGGAACCCTACAAAAGTTTTGTTTATCTTTTAGAACCCTACAATAGTTTACAAACATTTGTAAAGTTTTCACATTTAAATTTCAATCGACCGATAAATTATTACAACTATGTTTTAAATTAAAATATCGAAACTAACCAATCATGATCCATCCTTGAGTAAAATTTTAACAAAATAATTACAAGACGAAGCAAATGCGCTTAAAAAATATGCCTTGACATGCTAAAATTGCTTTTAACGAAGCATTGAGTGCGTTCAAATTTTTTTATAACTTAAGTACATAAAAAAATCAGCTTAATAACAGTTGATAAGCTGTTGGTCTAGTTAAACACAGATTAAAAGCCAAATAAATAAGAGATTGAGAAGTTAAAATTTAACGAATTGATATAATTTAAATAAACTGGCAAGTTCGAGGGGCTCAATTTTGTGTTTTGAAAAACTTAATCGCACTGAACGAAGTATTTTTTTTTTTAAAAAACTATTGAAAAATTAAATTAATCAAGCTATGCCTCTTCAACCAGCTCAGCAGGTTCGTTTACTACCGAGAAATGTTAAGTCATCATTTATGTTATAATTGCACATTAAGTAACGTCGCAAAAAGTCGTATTTATTGTGAAATTTCATAATTTGTATTCATGCGTTTTTTTTTCTTTATTAATTAAACTTTAATCAACAACTAATTGTTTACTGTATCTCATCAAATTTATCAATAGAATGCAATTGAGCCAATGCAAGTGGATGTTCAGCCGGAAGACAATGAGAATAATGAAGAAGAATATATATCGGTAGAAGATCCGACATTGGATTTAGAGAGTTATGCAAATTCATACACAGGATTAGCTAAACTATATCGTTTAATATTTATTGCGGATCATTGTCCAACATTGCGCTTAGAAGCTATCAAAATGGCCATTAATTATGTTATGGCGACAACATATAATGTCAATATGTATCAAATGCTTCACAAAAAGCTTGCCGACTTGAATTCATCTGCTCAACAATCAGCAACTGCTGCTTTACCAGATATAGCGTCACAGTCAGGAAATTCATTAGATATACCTCCTTATGACTCGGTATGGGTTGAACAAAAGACAAAGAAAGCAGCACTTAAATTAGAAAAGCTCGACAATGATCTGAAAAACTCCAAATCAAATTCAATTAAGGAGAGTATTCGAAGAGGACATGACGATTTAGGTGATCATTATTTGAGCTGTGGTGAATTATCAAACGCATTAAAATGCTATTCAAGAGCTAGAGATTACTGTACAAGCGGACGTCATGTTGTTAATATGTGTCTCAACGTTATCAAAGTTTCAATTTATCTACAAAACTGGACGCACGTACTGAGCTATGTCTCGAAAGCAGAATGTACTCCTGAATTTTCAGAGACTCAAAATCGAGATCAGAATCAAGCAACATTAACGCGCCTCAAATGTGCTGCCGGCTTAGCTGAATTAGCTACAAAGAAGTATAAATTAGCTGCAAAGCACTTTCTTCAGGCAAATTTTGATCATTGTGACTTTCCAGACATGATTTCATGTAACAACATTGCCATTTATGGCGGATTATGTGCATTGGCTACGTTTGATCGTCAGGAATTACAAAAGAATGTCATTTCAAGTGCATCATTTAAATTATTCTTGGAACTCGAGCCACAAGTTCGAGACATAGTGTTTAAATTTTATGAATCCAAATATGCTCAGTGCTTGAAGCTTTTGGACGAAATGCGTGATAATTTACTTCTCGATATATATCTTGCACCACATGTGAATAAGCTCTATACAAAAATCCGAAATCGAGCCCTAATTCAATACTTTAGTCCTTATTTATCAGCCGACATGAGGAAAATGTCTGAAGCTTTCAATTGCTCTGTTGCTGCATTAGAAAATGAAATTATGCAACTCATTTTAGATGGTCAAATTCAGGCACGCATAGATTCTCACAATAAAATCCTTTATGCAAAAAATGCAGATCAGCGTAGTTCTACATTCGAAAAAGCAATCAATGTTGGAAAGGAGTTCCAACGACGAACACGAATGCTCGTTCTACGAACTGCTATGCTCAAGAAGCAAATTCACGTAAGGGTAAGTCGTTCAGTAAAATTCTTCATCTATTTTGTTCATTTCAGTTCAGTTTGGATTTTTTGAATTTTAAATGATCGTTATATATTTATTTAAGGCCCAGACACGCGAGAGACAAGAAGAAGTCTTAATGCCATCAGGATCTCGTTCTGATGCGCGAAATTAGCAACAACTTGCATCGTCATCATCATCAATCTATTCGCGTGTGATGCATTGGTTTTAAAGACGACAAAATTCACAGAATGTGCATAACACGCCGTCTATATACATACAATACGTTAGCTTAACACATCCTTCATCTCTTTGAAAGAAGTCTTTTTGTTATTGCTTTTTTTTTCTTCTTCAACAACATATGATCCAATCAGAATGATAACAAATGATTCAAAAAAATGTCTAGCCAAAAATGAAGATTACTTTCCTTTTTTATTATTCTATTAGATTTCAATATTTTTGGCAGAGATTGTTTAAAAAACTGAAAGAGATAAAAAAGAAATTCAATGAATGAATAAATTTTTTGAAAGAATAACAAACTTTTATTAATTATACGCGAGTGCCTATTAAAAAACCGACTTTCAAAAATTCAAAACCTCATTTTTTTCTTCATATAATTTTCAAATTTTTAAGAACCGTTACCTGCAAAATTAAGTTGACGGTTTTTGAAAATTATACGAAGAAAAAATGGATTTCGAATTTTTGAAATTCGTTATTTTAATAGGCACTCATTATACGCTTTTTCTTTTGTGTTGAATGAGATTTATTTTCAGAAATGAACGCTGAACTTACAATATTATGCTAGGCTTCATAAAAAGAAGGGGAAAGTAGCTGGATTTTAAATTATATACAAAATGGTTCAATAGATGCTTATTCAATACCATAAAGTTTTAATGTTCTATCCATACTAGTTGACGCTAACCATTGAGCATGTTTTCCGAAACGAACTCCCGTGGACATGGCTGTGTGATCGTTAAACACTTTCAGTTCTGTCCATTGCTTGCATAAGTAAATTCTGCAAATTAAGATTAGGATTTATTAAAGGAAAAAAATATATGGAATAAGCAATGGATATTTACCTGATGTCAGTTCCAGCAATGGCAAGATATGTACCACTTTGATCGAAGCATAAATCTTTGACTTCATAGCCATCTTCAAGTTGGATAGTTTTAAAGTTTTTAAGCTTTCTTAAATCCCACAACTTTACACAGCTGTCATTCGCTGCTGCGGTCGCAAGATAATAACCATTTTCAGAAAAGGAAATGGAACTAATTTCACCAACGTGACCAGGAAAGTTTGCAACATTACTTTGTTCCTTTAGATCCCAAATACGAACTTGAGCATCGTCTGTTCCCGTTCCAAAAATTAATCCGTCGGGATGAAATTGGGCAGCAGTTAATCCACGTTCAGCTGTATCCTGAATTTTCGTTAATAATCGTCCAGTTCTGATATCAGAGAAACTCCAATATTTATCCTGTGACGTAGACAGCACATAATCACCAGTTGGATGCAGGGATAATCCAGTAACTGGTCCATCATGACATCTTAATAAAATTGTCGTTTGGGATCTGAAAAAAATTCAAAAAGTTCATTTCATTTCAGTTCATTTGAATTTTTAAAATACGTTGAAATTTCAAATATTATAAGGACGTCAAAAAAAACTCACGTGGGAACATTCCAAACTCTAATTGTACAATCTGGTGAAGCAGTTATGACTGTACTATCATCTGGATGGTAAATGACTTTTGTAACTTTCTTAGTGTGTCCTTTCAAAATAGTAACAACTTGTTCAGTGTCTTTATTGAAAATTGTAGCATTTTTGTCATTTCCTCCCGTCAAAATTTTGCTGTTATCATTACTATTAATGTCTAATGCTAAAATACCAGGAACACTCGCACTATGTAAGCCAGGATGAGATGCTAAATTCATAAATCCTCTCAACTTATCAGAATTAACGAGTTCATCAGGCACAGATTTTCCTTTCTTCTTTCGTTCCTGTGTCAAAATTGTAGCTTTGTCTTGCAATTTTTGAATAACTTCTGCACTCATTCCAGCTTGTTCCATTGGCTGTGTAGCTATGCCAGTTGCTTCTGTGGCAACAATTGGCTGTTGAACGACTGTCTGTTGAATTGTTGTAATACCGGCTTGTGGTTTTAATGTCGCCAAAGCCTCTCGAGCCGCAGTTACTTCCTTATTCAATCGAGCAATTACACGACATGCAGCATCATGTTGATATAAAGCATGTGATAATTCCTGCCTGGCAGTTTGTAACTGTTGCCTTTGTGTAAATGCATGCAGCATCAAAGCATCCCATTCATCCTGCATCATCTTTAAAATAGCTGGAATACTCGTTGCACTAGGCGGTTTTGGCTTTAATACAGGCGGAGCTGAAAGTGATTAGTCATAGTTTTATAGACATGTCATATAAATAGCATTAAATTAATTAACATACTTTTTATCTCGATTAATTCTTCTATGGACATTTCTTTGCCTGATATTGGATCAACACCATTCTCTTGGATATATTTTTCAATTAATCTCTTCTCGAAAATAGCACCCGAAATGGGAGATAGAACGGGGATCTCGGGAACTTCATTAGAAACTGTAAAAACATTAATTATAATAAATTATCAAAACGAAGCCTTTAAGGTTAAAAATAAATTTATGAAAATCAACTATTGGGAGACGATTAAGGCTGAATCAGCTGTTGTCTCTAATGAGTACTTACTTGCGCAGATTAATGACATTTTTATTTTCTTTTTTGGTCCTGTATTTCTCTTGAAAACTTAATTTATTTAAAAATGATTAAAATTGTTTTGTTTGTTCAGTAAACTTGTTTTTTTTTTCAATAAACTTTATCTTACTAAACACACCAGAAGACTAGTCACAAATTTGAATACTTTTTTAACCGTTAAAATTAAACATAGCAAAGATTCAGATTCAAAAATTTCTTTTTTATTAATTTTCGTCTTTTGGATGCATATAAGATGCTCATTATTATCTAAAGTAATAACTAGGTAGATATAATTTTATTAAGTTTTGTTTCAAATTGAACTTTTCATTTCGTTAAAAATTAACTGCCCATAAAACGAGTGAACAGAGGCATAAACCAGTGCTGCAACTCGACTATTTTGTGTGGAAAAAAATTATTAACAGACTTAACCCATCTACAGATCAAAAAAGAACTCTTTTAAAGAATAATAATAATGTTAACTGATACAATTATAAGCAAAAAATCAAAAGAATGGCAAATAATGCGGAAAGATAATTAAAAAAAAAAAACTCGGACATAAACTGTTCATTCTTAATAGGGAACGTTACTAAACAGATAACTGACACTCTCTCCATTATGCGTTCGACGAACTGCTTCTGCAAACATCATCGAAACATCGATACATTGAATTTTTGGACAGTCTTTCATGTGACCATCTTGTGGAATAGTATTTGTCACTACAACAGCTTCAAAGCATGCATTATTAATCCTGGATATAGCTGGTCCACTAAAGATCCCATGAGTTAAAATTGCATAAATTTTAGTCGCACCGGCTTCCATAAGTTTCTCAGCAGCATGACATGTCGTTCCACAAGTATCGGCCATATCATCAACCAATATAGCAACTCTGTCTTTTACATCACCAACCAAGACCATAGATGCGACCTCATTTGCCTTCTTACGCTCTTTATGGATCAAAGCAAATTCTACATTGAGTCTATCAGCAATTGATGTCACACGCTTAGCACCACCAGCATCTGGTGAAACAATAATCGAATTTCGCCATTCTGAAATATTCTCCTTAATCCATTTCAAAACTGCCGGTTCCGCATAAAGATTATCGACCGGAATATCAAAAAATCCCTAAAATTTTTGTTTTAATAAATGAAATTATAAATGATCAATGGATTAAAATTAAATCCGTTGCATTAAATCCTTGACTATCTAGTTTACCTGTATTTGAGAAGCATGAAGATCCATAGTAATGATATGATCAGCGCCTGCGACGGAGAGCATGTTAGCAACTAATTTTGCTGAAATCGGAGCACGACTCTGTTAAATGCAATGACAACAACGATAAAAAGAGAAATCAAATTTCATCCAACAGAAACGCTTTTTGTTTTTTTTTTTTTAAAAAAAATCTAAATTATTCAACTAATAAAATTGTTTTAGCAAAGTTAAAATTGTTATCAGTAATTTTAAAAAAAAAAGTAAATTAATAAGACAAAAGACAAGAGTAGTTTGTTAATTCAAATATAACAAATAAGCAAATGATTGACAATGAAATTGAACTGTATTCGAACTTTTTGTTTTCTTCTATCCTAATGACTTAGACTTGTCGTCTTATACTCTAATTTTGATTCATGCATTTCCTTAAAGTCTAAACAGAAAATTGATTTATAAAATTGTGAAGAAAAAAGGATCTTCACGAAAAAAAAAAAAAAATTATAAAGGTAAGGAATAAACTATTTTCTGTGAAGGCATAATAGTGAATAGTAGACATAAAAAAAATAGGACATAAGAACATGGAAATAAGCAATTGAAGTTGATAACGCAATTTACCGTAATCTATAAAAAGAAGAACAAAAAATTTCTGAATTAATACCTTTCATTTGAAATGTACTGCCATCGAAAATGACTAGAGCTTCCAAATTCTTCATAATAAGCGAGATTCTCAATTAAATTTAATTAATTTTCGTATTTCTCTTCTCAAAAAAGTGAATAATAAAATAGTACTAAATTATAATGATTATGATGCATCGTTAAAAATGCAAATAATAAAGTATATTAATAACACTGGATGCTAGTCACATCACGTGACATAAGCGCTGACACATCCAAAAATTATAATTAAGCAATTTTCAACATAAAGTTAAGGACGCAAAAATGCGCTGGTTAAGTCTAAAGGATACAAAATTTGTCAGCAAATTAGTTACAGTAAATTAAGCTATTGCCAATTTTATTTTCCCCAGTACTCAGAATGGTCTCAATTTATCGTGATAAAGTTTTCAGCACATTCTGTGTTAGTCTGTCATTTTTTTTTTAAAAAAAAGGAGACGTGTGGAGTAAAATTTCGACATGGAATCAATTTTAAGTGTCTATGGAATGCAAAGGAATTCTACAAAAACCATCCTGTGTGCTAAAGAAAAGCTTCTCAATAAAACAGAATCTGTTAAGTTCTTATTTTTGTTGGATTGCATTAAAGACCTGATTAATAAATCTCAACCGTTTATCTGATCAGAAATATCAGAAGAACGATTACTCACAGTATAAATTTCTGGCACATAATCCTATAAAAATATACATAAAGAAATTCAATTTTTTTTTTGTTTTGTTTAAAAAATGCTGTCGAAATGATCTTAGGGAAATTTATCCGGTGCACAGGACGAATTTCGTATTTTTACAAAATCCAACTTTTAATTATTAGAATTAAGTTTGTTGTTTAAATTTTAAGGTTTTCACGCCAAAAAGTGCAAGATTTTAATTGATTTTTTTTTGTTGTATTTGTTAAAATCGATTCCTTGAAAACACCTCAATTATGTTAGATTTCAACACCTCTCAATTTGTGCTTAATTATGTTAAATCTTATGATTAAAATTTAAATCCCGGATTAAAAACCAAAATTTTGTTTTAAATTCAAATATAAAATTACCGTTAATACATTCAATTGAGAGGTATTTTCAGGTAGTTCTTTGAATAACACATAATGCTTCTCGAAAAACAAGTCAGAAACATATTGATACGGTCACAAAAAAACATTGATAACAACGAAATTTATGTAAACTATTCTAAAAATGCATGCTACAGACAATAAATAAACATAAAGCTTGTATTGAATGTGGAAATATTTTTTACATGATAAACTTCCTCTAAACGACATTATTATTTTTGTGTGTGTATACCTATTATGGTGAATTAATGAAATATATATTTATCCATTGAAAATGAAATTATTAAATTCTTTAAAATTTTTAAAAACTTAAAAAAAGAGACAATCACCCGAAATTTCCACTCGTTCGACTTCTTCATCAGTTGAGCAAGTTTTTCATCTCCCGACTATTCAATGAGGTAGAGTAGATAATAAAATTGGCAACAAAACATATCCAAAAAAATATTTCGTCACAAACGTGTGTGCATTTTATAAGTGTAGCGGATTCACGGACGTTAATCAATAAATAGGAAACAGTCATGAATAAAATTAATAGAAACAGGAAAGTAAATTAGTTAAAATGATTAAAAAAAGGCTAAATGATAATAATAATAATTAGCTAATCCCCCAGCAACTGAAAGTCGTCACAAATAGTCAGCCATTATAGCGGTCATTTAGTTCATGGGGGAACTGATAAGACATTTGTAGAATAAATACAAATATCACGATGTGAATCATCATAATCGATTAATGAATTTCACGGGATCATCTTAAAATCTTGTCCACGTGCTTAATTTATGTGGACAATAAGATGCACGAAAAAAATACTTCCACAATATTTCTCTCACGTTCAATTTCATAACATTAATAACATTCGCGAGAAAGTATAAAGGAACGAAAGAAAGAAAAAGAGTAGGTACATTAAAATAAAATATTTTTAAAGCCAATCACTTCTTCAAAAAATTATATTTAGAACTATATCTATACGTTTTTAGATATTATCATCTATTTATCGGAAAAAGTTCAAACCAAAACACGCGTTAAGAGGATGTATATAATAATTAAATAAGGATTTGAAAGCCATGAAAGATATTTAATAGAGAAAAGTAATGGAATTGATGATGAAAATTGGCATACTTGATGTTCTTACCTTATCCTTCTTATCTTGACGAGCGTAAGGAAAGCATGGAATCACAGCTGTCACTCTTGATGCGGAAGCAATCTTACACGCATTTATCATGATTAAAAGTTCCATCAAATTGTCATTTATCTCCCCTGAACCCGATTGCACTAAAAAGTTATGCAACAAGCATTGTCATTATTGCAGGTATAATGTCCTTGAAATTTGCCTAGACTTACCGATATACACATCTTCACCACGAACAGATTCGCCTATTTCCACACTATAATGGAGAAAGTGAAATGAAGAAGGAATCAATAAAATAATTTGTTGCTAATTTTCAATCAACTAAGCCCAAAGTGCATCCCAATAAACCTTGAAAATTGTTATGGTGGCATGACGACTCATATTGTTTTTATTGTGCATGCACATGTAGACTCAAGGACAAAGATTTCATAATAAAAGGAAAAATGCGAGAAAAACAAAAATATTTTTCTTTATGTAGCTAAGACGTAAAGCTGCAACTAGATTCCCGCTCATAAACATTACGTCAAATAAGTTTAATCAACAGTCTTTATAGCTGGCTGTCTGGTACATTTCCTGAATCAGCTATTCTATTGAACAAACAATATCGATTTTTGTGTTTGTAGGAAAAAATGCAGTGGAAAGTTTATGCTTCGTGCCTGTCTCTCGAATTTCATACCTGACACTTGGGTATTATTATTTATTTTTATTGCACAGGAAGTTTTAAGCTTACTCAGCATAAAGGTTTTTAAGCCACATGTTGATGAAATTTGAATATTTAACAAAAACAAAAGAAAAATTAATATTTTAGACATACATGCAACATGATGATTTCGAGTCTATGCATTTTTATGCTTATCAAACCGATTTTGTTGAGGTTAATTTTTTTAATTTGCTTGATTGAGAATCATGCTGCTCGTCTTACTATGTACGTCATACATTATTACAGACATAATAAGATGAGTATCTCTAGACGCAAAAGTTCAGTTCAAGGTTAATAAAGATTCTAAATTTGCACTGAGCCTTAAAGACTTTTATGAACTTACTATAATTAAATTAAAACTAATCTGTTCATGACTCTGTCCAATTAGTTGCTTCTGTCGATAAGATAGCTACACAGTAGATACTGACAGTAATCATGTGAAGCTTTTCCGTGATTTTTGATTTTTCAAAAAAATAATAAAATGAAAATTTAAAACAAAATAAACTTACCATGTTTCCAAATTAGAGAACTTTTTGGTCACTACTTTGCCGAGATCAATGCCCAATCGATCGACAATCCTTTGAGCCAAGTCGATATGACTACTTCCAGAAAATACTTTAATGTTAGGCATCTCTATCGTTCCTACTGAATTTCTAAACTTATTATGAAGGAACTGATCTCGATTGATTGTTGTTATGGCTGGTTGTTATTGGCTATTTCATCCCCCTTATAAAAGGATAGGGAGTCATTCCAATATTCCGTTCATTTGAATAGTTTCTGAATTGCTTATTGACTTAACTTTAATTTTGTATGCATGAGGGGGGGGGGGGGGGTATATGCGAATTTTTATAAATTCATAGACGTTATTCCTGAATGATTTTAAGGGATAGTTTTGTGCGCGAAATTTTAAAATATTTTTCTGCTTTAATGAAATCCTATTTTAAATCTGCTAATGCTTTTATGATTTATCATGAACTTATATGCTTAAATTCTTGAAAGATTTTTATTTTATATAGCCTAATATTTTTGATTTTGCGATATATATCTCTGTAAATTAACGGCTTTATGAATTTTGAATTTTTCATTGATAATCTCACTTTCGCATGGATTCCACTGTTTGTTTGATTCAATTGCACAATACAGCTTAATTAACTGTATAATACCAAACATACAAAACACTATTAAAATAAACAGATAATTTTTGAAAGAAATAAAGTAGTTATGAAGCAATTAAGCAAGAATAAATGACATGTTGAAAAACATCACTGACAATACAACGTGCTTGCATTAAGAGCAAATAAAATAATTTTATAATTCTTAAATATATCAAATTCATCACATTTAGGAGCTTTCAGGATGGCAGTAAACATGGCTGTAAGTCGTATCAAACGGGAATTTAAGGAAGTAAGTGTCTACATATGATAATAGAGCACAGAAAGCTACTTTTACTTAAAAATTACAAAAATCCTTCAATTTTTCTTTATTTTGCACTTCTTATTTTTTTAAGGTCTTGAAAAGTGACGAAGTAAGTAGAAAGTTCAGAATTAATCCAATATCATGACATGTCTAGCGACTCTGTGAAATTGATTAATTAATGATTTACGTAGAAAATGTGTGAATTACCTTGTTTTGCTTGTTCCTCATTCATCATCCTTTTGTGTTTCGCAAATTTTAACAGTATTTAAATGAACTGATGTAAATTCAGTCACAATCTATACTGTTTGTTGAAACAGCAAAATTGCATAGAAATATTTATTGATTACAATTCGCTCATTTTCTACGTATTGGAAATTTTAAAACAGTAAATTGTATTTAAATTATTTACTTTTAGATCGCGCAATGTTCAATAAAGCTCGAATTAGCTAATGATAATTTTACAGAATTGAGAGGAGAAATAGCAGGTCCACCAGATACGCCATATGAGAAAGGAACGTTTTTACTCGAAATTCATGTACCCGAAACTTATCCATTTAATCCTCCTAAGGTTAAATTCATTACTAAAATCTGGCACCCAAATATTAGTTCCGTTACGGGAGCAATTTGTCTGGATATTCTCAAAGATAATTGGGCTGCAGCAATGACTCTTCGAACCGTACTTCTTAGTCTTCAAGCTTTATTGGCTGCTGCTGAACCCGATGATCCTCAGGATGCAGTTGTGGCTTCTCAATTTAAAGATAACTATGAAATGTTCTGCAAAACGGCTAAGGTATGACTATTTGACTCTCACACTCTCTTCGATAACACGCTTCATATGTATGTATAATCATTGCAGCATTGGACGAACGTTTATGCAAAAGGTCCACACAAATTTCCCGATTTTGATGCCAAAGTTCAAAGACTACGCGATATGGGAGTAAATGACTTTGATGCCAGAGCAGCACTTAGTAGACACAATTGGGATATAAATCTAGCAACAAATGATATATTTTGATTAAATCTACACAATAATTCTATTGTTCATGTTTCATAAAAGAAAAGATATTGAGGTGAATTTACTTTTTTTCGATTCCTTTTTTTACGATTAAATAAATCCACACATCTCTAGTGCTTATTATTTCATTTATTTTATTTTTTACGAAAGAAAAGTCTTTTTTTTGCAAAGTTTAAATCTTTTGTTTTTTTCTGTCATTTTTATCTCCACCCACGAATATTCTCTTAATTATACTTCTTATTTCCCCCCAATGTATAATGTAAATAAATAAATTAGTGTCGCCTAAAAAGTCGATTTAAAATAAAATCTTTCATATAATTATTATTATTACAAAAAAATTGTTTCTGAGTCAAGTTAATGATGAATCTGGCTAAATTGGTTGCTGTACTCTAAATTTACTGTTATCACAGCTTTCGCAAACTTAAGACCTTAGTGAAACAGTCTGATCGCTTCACTTCCTTCAACTATTTTTGTATTGACACAGAAGGATGAATCAGCTAAAGTTCTTAAAACTAAAGTTTGCATTGTCGTAAGCGTGTCGTGCACGTTTACACTTAACTCAAAGGAAATGAAGGAACTCATCCATTGAAATCACTGACATTTTTTTGATCAACTTCTGTGACGTTCTCGTCTTAAGGATTTGGCATGTTTTACATATTTTAAAGCTTTTAATTAATTAAGAACAAATTTGTTATAAATACTCTTGAAAATATTGTAGAATAAACAAATAACGGGTACTATAGATTCAAAACGTTGAAAATCAAATATATTCAAAAATTTGAATTAAGTGATTCAAATATTTTTTAATCGTTATTTATGTTACTTCATAACCGAAATTAAAAATAGGCGGGAAGAATTATAAATTCATTATTTTTGCTGTTTTCTCGCATTTAATTAGTTTAAAATGAATAGTGATATAGGGAAAATTAAATCTGTTGCTGTTCGTAATTTTATGTGAGTGAAAAGTCTTTAAATCAGTGGATAACAAGCTATAATTTCAAAATCTCATGAAATTTGTTATTTTCTTTTGTTTACAGAACGTACGATGAGCTTAAATTCAATCCAGGAAGTCATCTGAACATAATTATTGGACCAAATGGAACTGGAAAGTCTTCAATTGTCGCTGCAATCATTTTGGGATGTGGAGGAAAGCCGAGTATTATGTCTAGAGCAAAAGATGTAAGATCCAGTAAAAGATCCCGGACCAAAATTAAATTAATTCTATTTTGCTTTATTAGGTATCTGACTATGTTAAGAATGGCAAGGTTAAAGCTAATATTGAGGTTGAATTGATCAAAAGTGATAATGGAGATACAACCATATTTAATCGTAGTTTTGATAAGGATTCTAAGGAAGTATTTAAGATTGATGGCGAAAAGGTATCGTCTAAAGTCTATTCAGACACTGTAAAAAATAAGTACAACATTCATGTTGACAATCTGTGCATGTTTCTCCCACAAGATCGTGTCCAAGATTTTACAAAATTAAATCCACAAGAGATCCTTTACAATACTCAAACAAGTGTATGCTCACAAGAAATTATTGACCATTTTGAGTCATTGAAACAGAAGCGAGAGCAACAAAAGAATGTGACCAAAAATAATGCTGATATTCAAGTTCAATTAGAGGATCATGTTAATCGTAATAGTCAGCTTCATTCGTTGATTGAAAACAGTAAATTAAAGGATAAATTAATTAAAGAACTAGACATGCACAAGAAGAAACATAATTGGCTTGAATATGACAGTGTTAAGAAAAGATATGATGAGGCTTCTAATGATGTTAAAATGCTCCGTGATTCGATTGATAACAAGATAGCATTATTAAAGCCATTGGAAAAGCGACAAGCTGAAATTGCAGGAACAAAGAAGAACCTTCAAACATCAATATCCAAAAGTGATGCATTAATGCATCAATGTACAAATGATATTGATAAACTACTCGATACAGCAAATAATCTAGAAAGTGAAATAAGTAAAGTACGTCAAGATTATCGTAATGCTGTAACTAATGCAAAGACAAATGAAAAAGATATTAAAGAACACGAATTCCTTGTATCGTTAGACAGAAAGGAATATGAAGAGGCGCAAGAAAATTTGCATGCCGAAGGAGATGTTAATAATTTGATGAACAGCTTTGATAATGGTTTGAGGACAAATAAGGCTCAGGTTGAGGACATAATGCAAAAGATGGAACATATGAATCGAAATCTTGATGAAAATATAATTCCACAAATTCATAATTCTAAACGAAAGATCGAGCAGATGAATGATACAGGACGTCAACGATTTAATATCTTACGAACAAAATTCGAGGATGCATATCAAGCATATCAATGGCTAGAAGTACATCGCCAAAATTTCCGTGGACATATCTACAATCCTGTAATTACAGAAATTACAGTCACAGATCGTAAATATGTAAAATATGTAGAAAATACCATTGCAAATCGTGATTTCGAGACATTCTTATGTACTAACAAAGAGGATATGAAGGAACTCATTATGAAATTCAGAAATGAATTAAAACTTAATGTTAATGTTGGATATACAGATCCAGATGAAACTCTTCGCTATCAAACAGAACTTCCAGTTGATCGTAATCTTAAAAATTTGGGAATAATTGCATACGTAATTGATGTCATCAAAGGACCAATTCCTGTCCTTAATTATCTCTGTTCTCTCTATAAAATTCATAATACAGCAATTGGAAGTGACAAGACATCACAATGTGCCAGTCAACTTCCTGACAATATTAGCGTTTTCTTTTCAACAAATCATCGATTTTGCGTAAATATCTCTACTTACACAGGAAAGAAAAGCACATCCTCGGCAGAAATTCATTCAAGAAATATTCTCAACATTGGTATTAATCAAGATGAATTGGCAGCAGAACAGCAACGGTAAGTTTAAATTTGAATTTTTATTACTTTTCGTTCAAAAAAAAAACGTTCAGTAATCCTAAGTTCATTTCTGTTGAGTTCAATTTAAATGTAAAAAATCCGTTATACATTTTAATTTCGTTACAGCTTACAAAGACTGATTGAAAAAGCTGAAGAGATCAAAGTACAACGCATTCCATTGCAACAACAAATTAAAAGAATAGAAGATCAGTCAAATGAGATTCGTAATGAAAAGAATGCTCTTAATGGAAGAATTAGAAATCTCAAGACCATTGAAAATAAATTAAGGAAGAAGGAAACAGAACTTGAGAATCTAAAGAATCATAAAATTAATGTTAATGAGGAACGACAGAAGAGCAAAAATAGGGTCGATCAGATTGTTCGAGCAATTCTTGCTAATAATCTTAAAGCATGTCAAACACTTGAAAAATATAAGGATTATCATGTGCAAAATTCGTTGGCCAGAAAGAAGCTGCAAATATTTGATGATAGTACTGGAAATGTGGACGAACAAATTGATAAATTAAAGTATGACATGAATAAAGTTGAAGAGACATTAAGACGTGCAAGTAGTGCATCTAAAGCACTTGAAGATGAGATGAATAGAAAGAAGGAAGCTGCTATGAAAGAAACTAATGGACAGTCACCAGATAATCCAAAATTCAAGTACAAGAAGGATTTTAGTAAATTGCCAGACACTCAAGAAGCACTTTTAGATAAAATCTTTGAAATGCAAGGCAGAATTGATTGTATTCGAGGAGTTGATCCGAAAGTTTTAGCTGAATATGATGAACGGAAGCAGATTATTGAAGAATTGGAGCATCAACTAAAGAGTGAACAAGAACGAACGCAACAGCTTGAGAAACAATTACAAACTTTACATAATAAATGGTTCCCAGAAATTGAGCGAATTGTTGAGACTATTAACAACAATTTCTCAACATTCTTTGCTAAAATGGGTTTTGTCGGTGAAGTTGAGCTAGTAAGAAAGGAAGAACGTGATTATAATGATTATGGAATTCAAATTCGAGTACAATATCGTGATAATGAAAAGTTGCAAGCATTAAATAGACATGTCCAAAGTGGTGGAGAACGTGCTGTTGCGATTGCCATTTATACACTGAGCCTTCAACATCTTACAGTTGTTCCGTTCCGATGTGTTGATGAAATTAATCAAGGAATGGATCCTAAAAATGAACGAAAAATCTTTCAAATGCTCGTCGACATTACATGTCAGCCTGGCCAATCTCAGTATTTTTTTGTAACTCCAAAGCTATTGCCCAAACTCCCGTTCAATGATCTTATGACTGTTAGTGTAGTTCATAATGGAAAATATATTGAAGATTCTTATGTCTTTATGAACTAATTTTATTTTAAGAAGAAAAAATATCATATTTTGAGAATAAACTTTACTTTAAAACGAATTAAACTTTTGTCATTATTTAACGAACTTTTGAAATTCAAAAATATTATTGTGCTGTGAAACTACGCTTAAGTAGTTCTTTTCGATTATTTCTTCATCAGAGCAAGGTACGTAAATTTTTAAAATAATTAATTAAACTAGTTTAAACAGCATATTCTACTAATTAAAGTATCCTAAAATGTAAATAACTATGTGCTGTTTATGAATAGTATCAATTTAATTTCCAAATTATTCAATTTAAGGTAAAATTAATTAATTGAAAATTTGTGCAATGATTTGGAGGTTAAAACTGTTGCAGGACATAGAAACAAACTTATGCTGTATATCATTTCTATTCTCTTTTAGAAAACCTAATCCGTTAAAATGGGTCGCGTCAGAACCAAGACAGTCAAGAAGGCTTCAAAGGTCATCATCGAGAAATATTACACTCGATTGACATTGGACTTCCATACAAATAAACGTATTGTTGAGGAAGTTTCAATTATCCCAACTAAAAGTTTACGAAACAAGATTGCGGGTACGGTTAAGAGCAATATGGGTTGAATGATCTCATGCTTCATATTAATGATATAAAATATGGCATGTGATGATTCCTCCTTGTAATAAGCTCAATGACCCGATGAAAGTATTAATTATACATTTGTTTCGTACACAGGCTTTGTTACACATCTGATGAAACGTCTTCGTCACTCACAAGTTCGTGGAATTTCAATTAAATTGCAAGAAGAAGAACGTGAACGTAGAGATAACTACGTTCCTGACGTATCAGCTTTGGAACAAGACATTATTGAGATTGATCCAGAGACCAAGGAAATGTTGAAGATGCTCGAATTCCACAACATTACTGGATTACAATTGACTCAGCCACAACAGTCATTCAATCGTCGTAATTAATTTAATTACTGAATTTATGTATTTTACCTAATTTTAACATCCAACATAAATACATAAAATGAATTGATTTCAAATGAAAATGCTTATCTCTCTTATTTTATTGTCCCTAATTAGAACATAATTTTTTACAGTAACGCGAAATTATAGCTGATTGTTTTCAATCACCCATGAAAGTACTTAATTGTCACAATCTTCCGTTCCTTATCACGGAATGTAAATAAATATCTGTGTATAAAAAGACTACAGTACTTAATGAATTAAATCAGTAAGTGACTTAATCTTGACTAGTCGACTAGACTTGCATCCGTTGAGGAGTGTGTGAATATAGACTACCTAAATAAATCTCTGAGAAAGCAGTTGAAAAGGAATTTTTGGACGTATAGCTCGTGTTCTGTAATCATAAAACAAACTTAATAAATTTACCTACTTGCCATGGAATCAATATTCAAAGACCGTAAAATCGCAATTATTGGAAGGTAATGTTATTGATAAAGTGTGTATATACATAAGCACATGCAGTGATAGCATTATCAGAATAAAATAATTAATATTAAGCATAAAAAGTATGAATCAAGTGAAAGAAGAAAGTCTCAAATCAACCGGAATATATTATTCTATACATGCACAAGCCATTCCATTAGTATTTGTGAGATCTCTGAGAGCATGTGACGACGCATGTGTAGTGAGAGAGATAGAAAATGTTTGTCATAGTCACTGATCATATAAAAACTTAACTGTTGATTCTTTCTATACTTTATATATTATATTTTACAGTGGATTAATCGGACAATCATGGGCAATGATATTTGCTTCTGTTGGATATAAAGTAACAATCTATGATATTCTTCAGCCACAAATTGACAATGCATTAAAGCAGGCTGAAGCACAATTAAAGAGTCTTTCTGAAAAGGGATTACTTCGTGGAAAATTGTCAGCCGATCAGCAATTTAGCTGTATTAGTGGATGTACAGATATAAAAGAAACTGTTAAGGGAGCTTTCTTTCTCCAAGAGTGCATCCCTGAAAATTTGGAAATTAAGAAATCGCTGTATAAGCAGTTGGACGAGATTGTTGATGATAATATTATAATTTCGTCTTCAACTTCAACTTTTATGCCTTCTCAATTTTCGAGTGACATGAAGCATCGCTCACAAGTTTTGGTTTCACATCCAGTAAGTAAACTAATTTTTTTGATCGTAGGATTAAAATTAAATCATTGGATTAAAAATTAATCTTAATCAGAATATTCAATTGACAGGTGAATCCACCATATTATGTTCCATTGGTTGAGATTGTTCCTTCAGAACACACCAAAACAGAATTTCCAATTGCAACTAGAGCTTTGTAAGTAGTCAATTCCTATTATAGTCATGTGAATTATAAGCTAAGCCTTTCTCACATCTAGAATGTCGGAAGTAGGACAAAAGCCTGTTGTTTTGACGCGTGAAATTGAGGGATTTGCATTGAATCGTATCCAATATGCAATTTTAAATGAATGCTGGCATTTGATTGCTGATGGAATTTTGAGTGTTAAAGATATTGATTCAGTTATGTCTGATGGATTGGGAATGAGATATGCTTTCCTGGGACCAATGGAAACGACCCATTTAAATGCAGAAGGTAATAAAAAATATTCATATTCCATTGTTTTGTAAGTTCTATTGATTATTTTTTAAAAGGCTTCTTGTCGTATTGTGAACGGTATTCAAAAACAATCAATGGTGTAAGTCAAACATTCAAGCCTGTGCCAAAAATGGAAGGACCGGTTATGGAAAAAGTCGCAAAGGAATTAGAAGAAATGTGTCCTTTAGAAGACTTAGAAAAGCGTCGCAAATGGCGTGATAACTGCCTGACTTTATTAAGTCAAATGAAGAAGGATTTGTGAGATTAAATTTGAAAGTTAAAAATCACTGGTACGTGATATTTTTTTACGGACGGACAATGCTGAATGATCAATATTTTAATGTATGTAATGTAATTCAGTAAAAGATATTTTTTACAAATGAGAGACGAATATTTTTAAAATAAATAAAGTCATTGACTAAGCATATATTTAAAATTATATGCATAAAAAGTTACGATAGAATGTATAATTTTTTATTTACTCATTTCAGTTCTCTACATTTTCTATTTCTCTTTGCACTTGCTTTCTGTTTACCGGAAATGCGTGAAACTATTGTAGATTTGTTTTTTGTATCATACTAAATGATGCCGAGCAGCACAAAATAAATTAAAAAAATTTAACGGTTTTTCAGAAATTTGAAAAATATATTTGTTTGATGAACTGAATTGAAATGAAATGGTGAACTAATGAACGAATTTTTGAAATTCGAGATGCTCTTTATCTGTTAAGGTCAGGATTATAGAACTATTTTTCATAGCGAGCATGTATTTAGAAACCATAAAGCATAACCGACAAAGTATTACGAACATTATCACATTTTCTGAAAATATGTAGTACAGTGTATCACATTTGAGGAAATTCTATACAGCAAGCAAAAAAAAAATATGAACAGCATGACTTGATGACACAAACATAATTCTTTGCTTAGCTCAGATTTATTTTTTCTCAGTAAAAATGCTTAAAGATCTGATGAAATTTAACTCTTCTGTATCTGCACATTTTTTTTTATATAGCAGAGCTATAAAACTGTTTTGCTCATATATTATTGAAATTATATTCATTTTGTCTAAAAGTAGTTGAATTTAATAGCTATACACAGTGAATAATTCCATAGGTGAACGTTATGTTAATTTCAGGGCTTTAAAATTGAACATTTTCCAGTGTATTCATTAAAGCATGATAGAAATAATAATGAGGGTTCTTATACATATATATATATATGAACTGAATTGCTGTGTGTGCTATATCATGTTAAAATATTTTTTCACACCTGGATTTGTTCTATATATTATTTTTCATTACATTACATTACTATTATGATGTATTGGTGTTTTGATATCTCTCTCTGTGTATAAGCATTTTTCATTTCAATTTCGACAAAAAAAAAATAGGTAATGTAATTTATCCATGCATATATCATTAAATGAAACACAACAAAAAATCCGTATGTAATGAAATTTTTGATGTTGTAGAGCTTAATTGCTTTACACATAAAATATTCACTTGAATTTGTAGTACTTTTATAATAATTGGTTTTTAGAGGTAGCTATCGTTATGATTGTAGAAGCATAATTTCTTTGAAATGTTTGAAAACCGTACAACAGTTTCATTTCAATTAAATTCAAATAATGTGCATGGTTTTGACATTCAAATAAAGAACGTTAAAACCATACAAATTACTTCTTCTTCTTAATTAACTTTATTATGGTCCATCAGCTTATTGCTATTTAAAGACCGTTTACAATTCCAGGTAGTTTAATTTACAAATATACACAAAGAACAATCAATAAAATCCAGTCAACTCCAAATGGTTGACAGAAAACATGCCCGCGATAAGTCAAAACAACAAAAAACCATCGTTAAGCAAAAAATTCCATCTTCAGTTGTCGATGATCCAGATCCCTTGACAGTCCTTGTAATTTAACTTGTGATATTCCAAATAGATTCAATTTTTTCTTATGTCTCGATTGTGATCTGTCAATTTAATTAATATGATCTGCTGTATTCCGAGATGATCGATTCCTGTTTGTCAATGTTGATTTGTTGAAATCCAGTCAGCACCAATTGATTGATAGAATTGCCCGCGATATATGGGGAAACACACAAAACCCATCGCGAGACAAATTCTCCTCACAATTGACGATATTCCGTTGTATTCCAATAATATTCAATGTCTAGGTTATGGTTATGATAGAACCTTCTTGTCCACGATTGTTGGTAAAACACAAAAAACCCACGTGAAACAATTGATTCTCCTCACAACTGCCGCCGATCGTGATTTGTCAATGTAATTAAATGTTCGTTGGTATTCCGATGATGATCAATTCCGTTTTGTCTAGGTTATGTTCAAAATTTGCACATTTTTTTTTTCAATTTCAATTTATATCCAAAATTTAATTAAATCGCGACTTTGCTGAGTTTTCTCCTTGGTATCTTTGTTCTTTGTTACTTTGAAGACATTTCCCGAAGGTTTGTGACTTATTCCTACGCGTAATTAATTAATTTTGAAGTATTGCACAATTCCACAACCTCCTCATTCGGAGGTTGGGAGAAAAACTCACCATACAAATTACATTTACACATTTTATAGGAATTGTATGGTGGAATTGTGCAATACTTCAAAATTAATTAATTACGCGTAGGAATAAGTCACAAACCTTCGGGAAATGTCTTCAAAGTAACAAAGTAACAAAGATACAAAGGAGAAAACTCAGCAAAGTCGCGATTTAATTAAATTTTGGATATAAATTGAAATTGGAAAAAAATGTGCAAATTTTGCACATAATCTAGATAAAACGGATTTGATCATCATCGGAATACCAAAGAACATTTAATTATATTGACAAATCACGATTATCGTCAATTGTGAGGAGAATCAATTGTTTCATGTGGGTTTTTTGTGTTTTACCAACAATCATGGACAAAAAGGTTCTATCATAACCATAACCTAGACATATTGAATATTATTGGAATACAACGGATTATCGTCAATTGTGAGGAGAATTTGTCTCGCGATGGGTTTTGTGTGTTCCTCATATATCGCGGGCAAGTTCTATCAATCAATTGGTGCTGACTGGATTTCAACAAATCAACATTGACAAACAGGAATCGATCATCTCGAAATACAGCAGAACATATTAATTACATTGACAGATCACAATCGAGAAATACCAAAAATTTAAATCTTTTTGGAATATCACAAGTTGAATTACAAGAAGGACTGTCAAGGGATCTGGATCATCGACAACTGAAATTTTTTTTTTGCCTAGCGATGGTTTTTTTTTTGTTGTTTTGACCTATCGCGGGCATGTTTTCTGCCAACCATTTGGAGTTGACTGGATTTTATTGATTGTTCTTTGTGTATATTTCTAAATTAAACTCCCTGGAATTGTGAACGGTCTTTAAATAGCAATAAGCTGATGGACCATAATAAAGTTAATTAAGAAGAAGAAGAAGGAATTGTATGGTATTGATTGAAGACGTTACAAAACATGTAAAAGAGCATGTCACAAAGCTATGGCAAGAAGAATGGAATGAGGAAATCAGAAACGGAAATAAATTAGGAAACATCAAAAGACAGTACTGACAAGACTTAGAATTGGACACACAAATCTAACACATATACATCTTATTGAAAAAACTTCTCCCTCAATATGCACATGCACCATCCCGCTTACAGTCAGACATATATTTGAATGCACAAACAATCAAACAGCTATTTCAAAATTTAATATCAGTTACAAAACACTTGAATTAGACGAAAAAGATGAAACAGATAAAATTTTAAAATTTTTTAAAATAAATTAATATTTACGATAAAATCTAACACTAAAACACATAATATCTGATAATATCCTGTATTGCAGTTCGTATTTATAAAATTAAAAAAACATGTAAAACATATTTGGAATTGAAAATGGTCTTAAAATTTATTAAAAAGGACCTTAATAAAGATAATTAAGAAAAAGAAGGAATTGTATGGTTTCAAATGAATGAAATGAAAAAAAAATTTCTAGACTCTTGTGGTTCCAAAATTTCATATTCGAGTGCAGTGAAATATGACACATAAAATTCAAATAAATTACAATAAAAATTTGAATGAGACTCTGATAGCTCATTAAAAACAAAAAATAATAAGCAGTGACGAGCTGATACATATCAACATATATTGACACATAATCAACAAAAAAAAACTTTTTTTATCTCTATCAGCAAATATAAAATTGTTTTTGTTATATGAAACTTGGTTGCATTTTTCGTAATTTGAAGAGAACATAATACACAAAAAGTAAAATATTGAGTATGATCGAGACAGAGAGAGATAGGAAGTGTGTATGTATGTATGTATGAGATAAGCTCATGTGATAGTAGAAGTTTGTCTAACCGAGGAGAGAATATATATTTTTTCAGTAATTTTACAACTATATATTTTTTTATTTCCATCGTAAGCTAGTTTTCAACTATTGTTGCTTTTAAATTGAAATCTAAGTAATAAAAAGTTGCGGCGTTCTAAGGTAATACTGTAAGTTTATTGCTGTAAACTGAAATTTCAATTTGTCAATATTTCATTAATCATTACGACTTAGTTCTATAAAGAGAACTTGATATTAAAAAGTATCATCGTTCTGATAAACATAAATTTATTAAGATAAACAAAAGAAAAACTTAATAAAGCCGAAGTGAGAGGAAATATGAAACTATATAAACACAGAAAATTATATTCAGTGGAAGAAAGAGAAATCTTTGTATGATACAAAGGAATAAGAAGAAGAAGTTCTTCAATACGACAAACATATGAAAATGTGGCAATAATATATTATTATTGTTTGAGGTGCTCTTATACTTCTTGCCTTAATTTATTCGTAGAGTGTTCGCAGATTTTTCTTATGCCTTGAATAGTTATTAACTTTATTAAGACATTTTATGTCTTTTAATGAATCTGTTCAGAATGCTTGCTGTTCTTGGACTATTGTATAGAGCTCTGTTTTGTTAAATACCTATGTTAAGCTTTATAGTTAATGACCAACTCGTGACCAATTTGAAATAAGAACCTAATTGTATTCTGCCTTAATTAAACTATTAATGCTAAGACAACTGACCGAAGTTTTCATAATTAAATCACCAGTGATCAGCATAAACAGTACAAAGTGCCATAAATAGCTGAATAAGTTGAAATAAAAAATAACAAACATCCAGTAAAATTTCCAGCACAAAAAAGTTAATTAAATTTTATATAAAGTCATTCACCGATACTTGTATCACGAAGCAAGCAAGTGAAAAACAAGAGACCAAAAAAATAATCAGTAATGTATCTTTTTGCCTATAAAATATAAAAATAAACACATTTCATTGTTAGATTACTTCAAACAAAGTTGTTCAAATATCGAGTTCTTGTGTTTTCCATTATTAATAATAATATATTCTCTCCTAAAGTTTCGAAGTCATGAACAAACAATAAAAAAAATTCATATGCGATAACTAAATGTGAGCAAAACAATAAGCATCAGCATATAAATGTGTACCTTATAAGAGAAGGAAAAATGTATGAGACTTGATTCCCCTCAATGCACATACTATCATACAGGCAAGATATATAAACTCTCTTTCTCTTCAGGCATGATATTAAGATACATGAGTCATAATACATTTGTATTAGTATTTCTATAGTCTCTATAATATTCACTCTCTGACTAGAATCATCGTTTACTTCAGTTTTTACTTTCAAACAGAACATACATCTATCTCGTAGCGGCAATTTTTACATATTTTTCATTCAAGCTTTTGTTTTTTTTTGTTTAATTTAATTTTTTTTACACGGCACGGCATTCTTTATATTCTGTTCCATTCTACTCTCATTATACATTGTGTATGATATTTATTGTTTTCATAATACCACGTTTCATAAAGGTAGTTCTCGTTTTACATTCGAGTTACAAGAACACAAGAAGTGATTAAAAACAGAACTGCAAGCATAATCATGTCGAAATATAATTGGACAAGGCAAGAGACAAAAGATTTAATAACACTGTATGAGATCAATGAGTGTTTGTGGAATAAAAATCTACGTGAATATAAGGATCGAGATGAACGGATATCCAGTATACAATCGATCGCGGATGAGATGAAAATTTCTATTGAGGAGATAAATAAAAAGATTCATAATCTACGGAATCAGTATCGCTTTGAATTGAATAAAATGAAAAAAAATGTACCTGGAAAGCCAAGGTAAGTGACTGACTGCTATCGACAGCATGTGATTAAATTATCTAACAAACCATATATTTTTATATAGATACCAAACAAAGTGGCCGTATTTCAAGAACTTGAGGTAAGCATAATTGATTGCTATCAGACTCAAACAGTGCTTGTGCGAAAATGGATGTGAAATAAGCCGATTGTGTTAATGCAAAAAAGTGTTGAATTGAAAAGTTGATGAGCGTTTTAAAATTAAATCAAGGTTTAAGTTTTTAATCACTAGATTAAAAATAAATCTTAGGATTAAAGGGTCTTTCACAAATGACGTACACTTAAAAATAAAAAGAATTTTTGCGACAGTTATCCATACTTTCCGAACTCCCCTTCCCTTAAAAAAAATGATATCATTTATAAACGAACCCTAATCTAAATCTTGGTTTAAGAAGTTCTTTTGGTACCAAATCCCATTCAAAAAAGCTGCAAACTAGTGTTAAGTCTAATGCGAGAGATAAAAATAAATTAATATGTATCGATATTTTTCACAGCTTTTTGGAGAACATTGTGTCGGTTCGTGGAAGCACTACAACGCCAAATAATACAAATGGTGATTATTCTGAGGGAAATGAATATAGTGTGGTAAGTAACAAGCTATGAATGAATTTGTAATTCATTAAATTTAAATTCACATCAACTTAAAAAATTCCACATTTGTATAAAGTCGATATCTCACATATATTTATTCGATTGTACCTTTTGTGCTACACATTATTCACATAATTGAAGCTATAGATTATAATTCTTTTTTACCCTATTTACTCCCTTCTTTTCTTTCTGATTTTGTATTTTCTTTTTCATTTCGAGTTCGTTCGTATTACACAAATGTGATAATTTTTGTATGCTTAGGAGAAGTCAGAAAATAAGAAAATATAACGAGAAGTTTACTTCTTCTGGATGAGATATTTTTTTTTTGTTTAAATATTATTCATGCAAGTATGTATGATGAAATGATAGTTATTAAGGTATAAAACATAGCTACAACTTTTATTTTTTAACGGTATTGTAAAAGGTATCATCATGTGTGCTGTATGTGGCTTTCATAATACAAGTAGTTTAATGTAATATGTTAATGATGATGATAAACAAAACACAACATTAAGTAATAATTTTTGCGGTTAACATAACAAAAAATCACAATTTTTCTGTTTTATTAATTGCAACTAGGCTGATGTGCATTGCGATTATTTTTTGATCTTTTTGAAGGTCCCATAGCGATTAATCTTAAGGATTAACTTTTAATCAATGATTTATATTTCAAATATTTACTAACCGTTATATTTTCAATTATATATGCAATAATTAATCCACAATCTCAAAATATGTTCATTCATTTTTAGGAAAAGTATGACGACGAGAATGAGAACTCAAATGATAAGACGAACGGTAGCACGACAAATAATGAAGCAACCACAATTCTCACCACGTCAAACAATAACAACAATACACAACCTCAGCAAATATTTCATGTGTCGGTAGAGTACGAAGAGGAAACAACAAAACCAAAAATTAAAACAGAAATGTCAGGTCGAAAGAGACGATTGATTACAAAAGATGCTATTGAATTAGCTACACAGTCAAATTTGCTTAATCAATCAACACCGATAAGTACAAAACCAACACCGACAATAATAATTGATGATAAATCTCAGGACGTTGTCTTAAAAAATGATGCCGAAGAGACAAAATCCGTACGTAATGAAGAGTCGTCAAAGAAGCTAGATAATTTTGAAATTTTTGGTCTTTTTGTGGCTAATGAAATGAAAAGTCTATCGAGTTCTGCACTTCAGAAAAAGCTTAAAAGGAAAATTCTTTCGTGCATCTTGGAAGTGAATAATGAAGATGGCAATGAGAGTACTTAGAATTAAATCATATCACCTCTTTCAAAGATTCTTATTAGTTTGTGTAATATTTTTTTGAGTTTTATCAATTTTTAATTGCCTTAGTGATTTATGTATCTATAAGAATGGACATTGTACTTTAAATAATCTATTAAGTCCACATTAACTATTTACAAATAAAAAACATAAGATGTATGAATGTCAAACTGACTAATCTACATGCTGAACGTTTCAGATAAATGAAAATTTACCGGTTTTTTAAAAATTCGAATTTTTGAACTGAAATGAAATGAAGTTTCCTGAACTACTGAACAAATGTTATAAAATTCAAATTAAAAGTGCCAGTTGAAATTTAAACCAACAGCAATAAAATGCATTTAAGGAAGACAAAAGAGCTGCAATTTTTTCGTTTCTTCTTTTGTATACTTGCGGTTAAAAGTCGTAAAATTAATTTATTATTAATCATTAAAATCTCACATTCAACACACAAAAACAGATTTTAAAACTAATTTACGAATCTACACAATAATATTACGTCTACATGATTACGAGTCTTTGATTAAAAAACAAAGAAACTAAGAAATAATCAATTATCAACTAGGTTTGTAATATTTTTAACTAGGTATGTGAATATAGGTATACCTATATATTTACACTTGTCACGAAAGAAATCTAATTCCATGAAAATAATAAAAATATTGCTAATAATTCGATATTTTATAAAGTAATGATTCAGTATGGTCATTAAAATGCACATTATTCATCCTAAGTCATAATTATATTCTATTTGGTAAATCTATATTGGCAGTGATTTTATTATCTTTCTTGTCTATTAATTGTAGGATGTATGTTGTAAAATTAAACAATACGATTACTTCAATTTAAAGTATTTAGGTAGCAGTGGCGAGCTCTGCTTCACCCTTCTTGTAATATATATCTGTGATATGTTTTTACTAATGTCTATGAGACTTCCATTTAATCTTCTTCATTTATAAAACAGTATATAAATGATATTGCAATTAGGTTCTGTTTAATTTGAGCTAGATTAACTTAATTTAACTTATTTAACTATGTTATTTATGTCTGAGATTGTTATTATCTTCCAGGTAGAAAGTTCATAGTATTTCGCTTACGTATGAGTCGTGAGCATAAGGATATATCGCTAGGAGATAAATGTCGTTCGATGACTTTTTGGATTTCATTCATCCAGTCATCACGTTCGTGACTTGAAGTCGCCGATAGTGTATAAATTCTTTCGGGTGTGAACAGACTAAAGGAAAATCCTTCATCTCTATAATGTTCAGCTACGCCTGGCCTAACGCTATATCCATCCATTTTATAGCCAATGAATATTTCTCCTTTTGCGTAACTGTCAAGTGGATCAATCGAATACATTAATTTACGATTATCGAGAGTAAACCAACGTCTCCTGTATTTATCTTCTGGCTTTGGACCAGTCTTTAACAAATATCCTTCTTTGGCGAAGTCACGTGTGAGTATATCTACTAAATCTGACTCATGAGCATGAGGAAATGCAATTTGAAGGTAGTTTAATTTACTGCATCGAATACTATGGTAAAAATTAACAATTATTTCTGCATCTTCGTGATAGACGAAAAGATTTCGAGTGGAATTTGTTGGTGACAAGTATGATATTTGTAAGGTATTCTTATGTACCAAACTCTTTTTAAATTGTGTTGCAAAAACAACATTTAATTCTGAAACTCGCAGAATTGCTTTTGGATTTCTATCCTCTTTAACATAATATCTTAGTGTATCATCTGCCTCATTTAGTACAAATTTACGTGGGAAATACCTGTTATCCTCTTTGCCTTTCTTCATTAGAAATATTTCAACCTTTCCTGACATGTATGCTGGTAAAACCGTTCCCGAAAATTCCTTTCTTTCATATTTAGCTCGTATGAATTGTTCCAGTAGTATCGGTGGATCATTATATCGTGGCACTCTGTAGCATGCAGGTATTCGTTTTTCATACTCCAATTTTGATCTTCTGTTGCCAATGTTCATTAAATTACATATTTGTGAGTCTTCGAAATAGTCCAAATATATGTGCTTTATTTTTGATATATGCGTTCCAAGTGATCGATGAATTTGTGAGCAAGTTTCATTACAAACAAATATCCCGATATTATATGATATATATTCGACTCCTAAAAACAGTTTCTATTATTACTAATGGTCTTTTCAAATACAAATTTTACGCAGTTCAAGTGATATTAATCATTATTCAGCATAGATCTAACATGATCTCATTATTACTACTCACTGGATCTAGTGTAAAAATCTCTGTTGGTGACAAATTCATGAAAAAGTATTAAAAGATGACTCAAACATGATTATTTAATACTTTTTCAGTATATCCACTTGAACATTCAATATTAATCATGTCCATGAATTTTTTTATTGCGTTTTGATAACAACAATTAAAGAAACGCAGTTTTTAGGAAAATATTCATGTCCAAAACCTTTTTTTTCCTACCTTTTCGTCCACAATCAGCACATTCGTTATTTTCTTCAATCTTTAATAATTCCAAGATAAGTTTTTGGTTGTGTGCCATAGCTGGCTATGATTTTTGTTGATTTCAATTCCACAAATTTATTAATATTTCAATTATAAAAGCAATGAATTTATCGAGGGGCTTTTAACTTGAGGAAAACATAGAAATAACAAAGTTTAAAGAATGTTCTGCAGATTAAAGCATAAGCGCATAAATTTTCTGCTGTCCAAAAAAAATTATATTAAACTTTTGTTTTAACAGTTTTTTTTCGAAAATTCAAATGTTTGAAAACTGTACAACAGTTAAGTTTGATCCTTTTTCAATTATGTGCGTTTTTAAATTTATAAGAAATAATTTTACATCATTTTAGGGCTTATAAGGTACAAAAAACAGAGTCAAGCAAATGAAATGACCCACGTTTTATTGATCAAAAGAATAGTCTAGAAAAATATGCAGGTAATTTCATAATAATTCATGAAAACAAGACAAAGTGATGAAAAAATTCATTTTCAATTTGTAGGAATCGCAATCAAAACATCGAAATACAAAGCTGTTGTGTAATTTTATTAATTTTATAAATTAAGCCGAATTCTAAGTCATAATGTGGTGATAATATAAAGGAATCATCAGAGATATTAGTGACACTGAAGGCGATTAGCGACAAATCGTAATGATTGTTTGTTTGAGCAAATCAAAAATAAATAATTAACCACATTGTTCTCTTCGCTTACTCACCTCTTCGTAATTTCATTGCCAAGCATGCTTAACAACATATTGTTGTGCTGATTGAAGAGAATCAGTTAACTTTGTGCAGTCGTGGTGTTAAGACATTATTAAAAAAAATATTAGAAAAGTCAAAAAAATTGCGACCCAAGAAATAAATAGTAAAGAGCAACAACTAAACAATAATCAGTCAGCAGAATCAAAGAAATTTGATAACGGGATATACAAAACAAGTGCTATTAAAATTACACATAGATATAGTTCAATTTAAAACTCATTAAGTAGGTCGAGTTTTCTTCTATTCTTATTGCGGTACTTCCACTTATATTAGTTCTTCTATTTGTTTCTATCAATTAAAATCTAGCTAGAAAAGACTACAAGAAAAATGTTAAATCGATTTACAACGGCAAGTTTAGTGAGAAAAATTGTCTATTCTACCTCGAAAGATTTGAACTTAATTAATCTATCAAAGCATATATCATCGACATCATTGAGTAATGTACAAAATGCCACAAAACCAATTCGGAAGCATAACTGGAACCAAGCTGTCAGTGAAGCTGAAAAGATTGTGGGATATCCAACTTCATTTCTCAGCCTTCGATGGCTGTTAAGTGACGAAATTGCAAATGTAGCACTACATTTAAGGAAATTAGTAGGAAGCAATCACCCTTTACTAAAAACGGCGAAGTAAGTAAAACCTACAAATAGCTAGCTAGCTGTACAAAAGTATGCTTTCACTCCATCCAATAATAATTTGCATCATGAAAAATCAAGAAAGCGTCATAAAAAAATTAACTGAAGTGGATCAAAACATATCAGCATAAAGTCTTAGTTGATAATCTTGTATGTTTGTATGATTAAGCAATAGTTTGATTTGATTTTCTTGTCGAGGCTAATTTAACGTCTGGCGCTTAGTTTTTAAATGTTGAATTTTATGTCTCTTATTGCGAAACTTAAATACACTTTTTATTCCAAATATTTGATGGCAAATAATCCAATTCTCTTTAAACAGAAACTTAATATACGATGGACGATCTAATATGCAAGCATGGGGATTGATAGTTTTACTAATTTCTAAAGCTGCTGGTCATGCTCCACATATACCTGATTTAGAGGAAGATAAAAGTGCTGGAGTTTTACATTCACAACGAGCATTAGCGGAAGTAACAGAGATGATTCGTACATCTACTTTAGTTCATCAAGGAATGGTGAATTTACAGACTTTAAATCATTCTGGAAATGAATTAGCTGCTGATTCTGAAATGATTTTTGGAAATAAAATTGCACTTTTGGGCGGTGATTATTTATTAGGCAATGCTTGTCTTCAACTAGCTGGATTAAGGTGAGAAAAGTTTAATTAAAATGAGTGAAATTTATAATTTATGAAAATATCCAACAACAGAAATCAAGACTTAATCGGATTAATATCATCAGCTGTGCGCGACTTAGCAGAATCAAATTTTGTCGGTGATCGAGATGATGAAAATATTGCACTTCCGTCCGATCCAGCACTTAAAATTAATCTAACGGATGATAAACCATTGGATGATTTTGACAATACAAGAGATATTGACATGAGTCTCATTTTTGGTCATCCAGAAAGAGAATGGAATTTCCGACACACATTATCGTCTGGTACGTTATTGGGAAAAAGTTGTCAAGGAACACTCAAACTTGCTGGTCAATCGGAAGCACTTCAAAAACATGGATATACATTTGGTAAACATTTAGCATTAGCTTATCAAGCAAGCATGGACTTGGAACCATTTAAATTACAAGAACTACCTCTAACTGCAACATTTAGTCTCATCAGTGCACCCGTTCTATTTCATATTGATCATGATCCATCATTATATGAAGAAATTCGATGTGGCAAGAAATCAGTTACCAATATAGACTTTAGAAAAATACACAAAATTGTCACGGACGGACCTGGAATTGATGAAACCAAAGAACTTCAGCGAAAGCATGGACAGATAGCTATGGACGTATTGAATGAATTTCCAGATTGTGATGCAAGGACTGCACTTCAAAATATAATTTTAGCTATGCAATGTCTTTGAAATTGGCTTAATTGCCCGACATCTATGTCGTCTATAATTAACAACTTATAAACTAGTTTTTTGACCTAAGAATTTTTTACATTAGAACAATGATCTTGGTGATGGATTTATATGACGAATATACAGTTCTATATTTTAGACATGAAATATAGTAGATTTTCTTTTTATTTCGGTTAAATAGGTGTAAAGCAACTAGAATGAAAGTATTGGATTTACGGTTTCATGATCGAAAACTCTCAACTGGAAAATAGCAGTTATTTGAAATTTGAATTTAGTATTTTTGCTGAAAAATTTGAAATTTCCGTTATTTTATGATTCACTTAAAATGAGTAGAAAGGAATATTTTCTACAACAATTCAGTTACATCTCTATAACTTTACACGTACTTATCAATTCAAGCGATCAAAATTTTGAAAATATTCTGTCTATCCCACAAAAAGTTGAAAAATAATAAATAATAAGATCTTGAAGTGCTAAAAGTAATAATTGATTAAACCTAACACTTTAAATCATATAAAGTAATGTCAACAACACAAACCTTGGCAAGCAGTCAGTGACTATTATTGGAACGATGCAATAAAAATAGTACCTAGAAAATTTCTTGTTAATTCAATTAAATTGATTCATTTAACTGCATGCTTTAAAGATCTGAAAAAGTATCAAGTCATAATAATGGAAGTATTATTTCCATAAAATCTTAAAATCTTTAGATTTCACAAGAGATAGACAGAAAATAAGAAGAACAAAAACATATCTGGTGCTAATTAAAAACTAAGATTGTGTTAAACTTTTCATTACGAATAAATTGTATTATTTTAAAATGCTGTGCAGATTGTAAAAAAGAAATACTCTAAAACAATAAGAGAGACTAAAACGAACTTTTTTGTAAAAACTGTAACAAAAATATATTTTTATTGTAGACCTATTTCAGCAATATTTGAATTGACAACTTTACAGCGATCCTCAAATGTTGTTTCCATTTCTGTATTTCAAGTTCATACGCATGCCTTAATACGCATCACTCAAGAGTCGTAAATTTTCTTGTGCAACATAAATTGAGATTTATAAATTGGTTATCTTTGCGTCCATCATACATACGACATTTAATGAAGAATATTTGATCTCAAAAATTGTCGTGCTTTGCAGCTTTGAAGAATTATCAAAATTGATTTGAATTCAAACGACTTTTGAAAATTTGAATTTTAAGGAGCTTCATTCAGTAAATTTATGTTCAATTCATTTCAGTTCAATTCAAAATTTTGAAAACCGTTAAATTTTGAAGAAATATTAATACTCTAAATATACAACTCTAATCTATTGGAAACTTTTCTGATCTTGTGAATAATATTTAAATCATGGCTTAATCAAACAAAAACAAATTTTTGTCTTTCCATAAAATTGACACTGTCTGAAATTATGGACGGTTATGGACAAATCAAAAAAATATGTGATGGCATTTCTATTGAATTTTATCTTTTTAATATTTTTCTTTTAATTGAGACATTTAAACTCATTCATCAAATGCTATTCATTATATTTCCTATATTGGAATTGTCCAGCCAACAATTGACTTGTGTTAATTTTTAAGGTAGCATTTTTGATGGATTGTTTTCGATGATCTTAATGACAATAATTCAAGGCATTTCTGCAGGAAATATTCGTATTATGAAACTTATGGATATCCACTCTGTATGAATATTGTTAGAAAAAAAAAAATTAAACTTGATTTTTGCAAGCTAGTTGTTAAGAACGAAAGTTTTAAGAATGCAATGAACTCATTTATTATGTCTGTAAATATTTTTCAAACCACAACGACAAAACAACAAAAGAGAATTAGAAAGACAGAACACGAAAATGACTCATACTTGATAATCAACAGCGTCATATTGACAAAAAGGAATGCACAGATTTTGGCGATGAAATTTTGAATCAAGGCAGTTATGTAGGGAATTAATTGTGCAATATTTGAATACAACCAGCCTCTCCTCTTTATGGACAATCATTTTTCTACTAAGATTAATGAGGCAGAGCTTTGTGTCTGACCAGATCGCCTTCTGATTTTCATTGAAGAAATTCCGTAAATAAAAACATGTGACAAAGATCCAAACAGTTCTATTATTAATTTCCCATTTTGTGTAAATAATGGACTCGAGACAGTATAAAGTCACAGGTCTGTTAACTAAAGGTTTTTTTTACAGCGTGATCGGTTTTTCCATGAATTAAGTTTAAAGATGCGAAAAGTTAACAATTTAGCTTAAAAGAATGTCAAATAAAAGTCAACTTTATTCAGGCATGCCTTTTCACAATAACATCGATTTATGTCAATGTCCTGATGATATTTTCAAATTTAGTTTTTGAAAAGAAAAGCACGTGCTTATAATGGATTTTATCAAAATATTGCTACCTGCAATAAAAAATTTATGGATCTTTTAAAGCTTTTAGATTAAAAACTTACTTTTGCTTGTTTATTGCCACTTTAAAATTATTTGGTTGGCTTCTTCAGTTTTTTGCTTTCAATTCCAATTTTAAGATAAAGAGATAAGGGGCCATTCACTTATTACGTAACGCTTTTAGGGGGAGGGGGGGGGTTTAAGATTTTGTTACGGTTCAAACAAGGAAATTTTTTTTTCATACAAATTTTGTTACGAGGGGGGGGGGGGGGGGTCTAAGAAGTCATTTTTTCGCGTTACGTAATAAGTGAACAGTCCCTAAGGGGGTCATAAAAATCGATTTACACAACGCAATATATGAAGGTCCCTAAAGAAAACATCTTTGATGGATGGATTTGTCAACGCATGAAATCTTCTTTATGGTGAAGTTTGTTGTTAAAAGCTCAATTTGAAACGATTGAAAATGAAACTCACCATGTTAAGCTATATTGAATTTATGATGATTGTTAAAGCTGCATTAATTATTGGACTTAACTTTTTGTTCTGCCAAAAATTAAAAATCTGAATTTTGAAAATTTTAAATCCTTAAACTATTTCAACTGCACCTTCTAAAGCTAATGCTAATTTATCATTCCAAAATATGCATTAAATGTGTCAAATAAAGAAGCTTGATTATAGAAAAAATTGTCTTGCCTACTTCCGTGTGTTTTATAAGCCAATTTGTAGAGATTAAATGAGTGATTAATCTTCAGTGACAGTTTAGTGATTACTAATGCATCAAGTTAACTAGCTATATTTTTTGGATGCCTACTTTAAATATGAAAAGAAGCAACACATGTCACTGATTAGCGAAGGGTCTGAAAATCTGTGTGCTGCGGGACATTAAATCTTGCAAAATTAAAAAACGCTCTTTTAAAGCAATTTGTAGGAAAAAAAATTAAAATTATCAAAGATGCATTCCTAATATTAATAGGTTCAGCCAACACTGAAATAACGGATTAAAAAGCAATTCATTAATCTATGGCACCAAAATTAAGTTTATTTGTTTGTTTTTGTGATTTTTCAATAACTTATATATTTGGAAATTCTATAGATGGAAGTAGCCAAGCTATATTGTAAATCAATCAACTCTATAGGCACAATTTTTGATGATGTAAAGGAGTATTCGGTAAATTATGTTTCACTCTTGAATTGATATAAACAAATTTGAAACTTGTTTTGGGGTCGTTCAGTCATGACATCCAAAATTGACGGTAATTTTTCAAAAAAGAACAAAGAATTTCCAGGAATTTTTATTGTTCTTTTTTTGCTGACCTCCCCCCACCCCCTGGACGTCATAAGTGAACGGCTCCTTTAAGAATTGTAATAAAATCCACAAGCTTGATTCAGACTCAAAAATCTTTATCCGAGAATAGAATAAAGAAAGCTTTGTTCGCTTTACTTTGTCGTAAGCTACAATGAGGAATTAAGACAATAAAATTTAATTTAAATCTCAAAGATGCTTCTTGGCAGATCATTAACACAAACATTTGACAGATTTCAAGTGCTTTTTCGAGATAAATCTTTTAAGCATGAACAAAATTGAGCGCGTGCCAGCCACTAATATCTATGAAAGCTGGAAATTCTTAGCTGATGTCTTATCAACAAAATCAATCGTAATCTGTTGAAATCATAAATAAAAACGGACGTATTGCGTATTTAGGAGTGCCAATCATTTGCTTTCATTTTTGGACTTTCTCAATACAAGGATATCTAATATTAAGCCACCAAAATACAAATAGACACCTGAAATATTTTAATGTTATGTGCGAAAATGTCATATCCATTAAGAACCTTAAAAGTAGAGAACGGTGGTCAAATAACAAAATTCAGTCATGCATACAAATTAATAAGCTTAATTATGCATTTCAAAATTATTGAGAAACTGGCCCGCTCTTGTCTCCCGCGAGTTTAAAAGACTGAGAGTAAAAAAAATTATCTTCAGAGCAGCTATGCTCAATCTTAAGTTGTAGATTTAAAATTAAGTAATTGTAGTAATTATTACATTGTAATTACTGGATTTATGCAACTGCACATGTTATCTTTAATAATTTTATATACATGATTTCTAGCAATAGCTGATCAGAGCTACGCTCGCGTGTTACTTTTTTATTTCTTGCTCATTCTCTTTTGGTTTACTTAACCAATTTCCTTGTTACCTTACAATCTTAACGCTCAGTTTACCGCGAACCATCGGACAGCTTAAACGCGTCAAGTTTAAGAAGCCGTTAAATAATTCATCGGTCTATAAAAAAATTATTATTTTATCAAGTACCTAAATTAATAAATTTTATTGCATAATTAATTTAAAAAAAAAATTAAAGAGAAAGTTTGCGCCAAAAAGAATCAAATTGAACGGAACTAAAAGTTGTTTTGTACATAAAGTCAGTTATATCGAGATTTAATGTATGTCAACAAATTTTACTCTCAGTCGTGTTTATGACAAGAAGTTTCAATTAATTCAGCACCAAAAGAGAACTAGATTATTGTGCTGGATATTTCAAGAAGGATTGCGGATCAAATATTTATCCACGACTTAATTGAATTTCTTGATCACTTTTTATGGCCTATTTACTGAGCAGCTTTGTGAATGTCACGTCGAGCATGAAAAAAAAAATAAATATTGAAAGTGAATTGAGATGAGCTGGATGTAGTCATAAAATTGAAACTGCTAAAAAATTCTTTGTTTGGCTTTAAAGAAGTCAATTAAGTTTCATTGTTATTAGCTTTGGATGAGATTTGTCAACAGACGTTTATGATAGCTTAGGAAATATAGCATTAGATGACATGACACAGCTACAAGAAAATAGTCCATAAACATAACATTAGATTGTCAAAAAAAAGAGTCTTGTAATCAAAAAGTTGCAGAGTGGTTTCCATAAGTTATCTTAAAAGCATTTCCATTAGCTAATTTTGTTTGAACTCAATTCAAGTGGAACGCATAAGCACGCACCTAGTTTTCAATAATAGGAAATTACTTACTTAATGTTATTAATATCAATTAGGAGTAGAAATTTACGAAAATGAATGAGCAACTTTTGCATTTCGTGACCTGGAAAAGGAATTTCAACGAAAGAGAAGTTGTTTCTGGCCAAAAAAAAGATACATACATAAAGCATTTTAACTGTACAATCATGCCGAAATAAAAGTAAAAATATTAAATTGTCGGAATTTTATGAAATAAACTTTCACTTGGCACATTAAAACGTAAAGAGAGTGAGGAGCATGAAGTATGCGAAACTGTACATACAGCGAGTATAATGTGATCATGCGACTCAGATAAAAATCTCACTTATCTTGAATTGAGAAGAAAGTTCATTAACAAGCTGCAGCTGTTTGTGGTACTACTGTTGCTTAGTTCTTAGTAACATGACAGATTAAAGTCTCACCATGTTTTATGATTGAAATTGTGGTTGCTTTTTACAGATTATTTCTTAGAAAAGTCCGAACTTTTGATGACATTACTGCTTGTAGCCTACAAAGGAAGGCTGTGAGTCTCATTTCCAGTACATATGATTTGAAAAAAGAACAAGTGAAATTTTTCCATACCGAGTCTCGAACCCATGATCGCTGTGTCGGTATTGCAATAATTAGGTACCGAAGCACTAAACCATTCCACCATCGAGCCACTTCAGCTCACCAAGGAAACAATAATTCAAGCCATAGAACTCAAAAAAAACTTCAATTTAACTTGACTTGAAATATTTTGCAAATGCGTTCCAGCCATTAATGGCATTTAAATCTTTCTCTGAGCAATTTCAAGTCCATAAGTATGTAAGCTTGATAATCAAGTGAAATGAGAATAAAAACACACGAAAGAGAGTAAAAGGTGGACAATAAAGAAAACAGAACAGCATATGATTTCTTCTCGATAGTAAAACTCACGCTACGTTACAAACTGGTTTTTCCATTCATATGATTTCTCAGTCAATGTCTTGTAGATGCGCACGAGACTCAAAAAATAAACAAAACATAAATAACGAATTCTCTTTTTAATCTTTATGGTTCAACTGTGCTTAATGGACTTTTGTTTCATTGTAGATGGACATTAATTTGTGTGATTATGCTTAAATAGTGAGAGTGAATATTCGCAACATTTATATTTGAGGAAAAAAAGAGAAGTGCTAAGAATATAGACAAACAGAAAGGTGCTAAAGTAATTGTGATAATTAAATTTACACGTACCTAACATCCACTAAGTATGTCATTAAGTCGCATTCATTCGCTGAGGAAATTTCTCGTAAATTCCACTCAAATCAAAAGTCTTCGATCTATCTCGTCCACAAAAGAGTCCCGTGATAAATTGGCAACAAAGACAGACTCGAAAAATGAGTGGAATCGTGCATTAAGTGAAGCTGAAAAAATTGTTGGATATCAAACTTCATTTTTAAGCTTGAGATATTTACTGAGTGACGAAATTACAAATCTAGCGCTACATTTAAGGTTAATATCAAGTTTGTTGCGAAAAATGTCGCAAATATCAAGCAGTGCTTACAAATTAACTTCATCTTTTTTTTTCAGAAAACTTGTTGGAAGTCCACATCCACTCGTAAATACTGCAAAGTGAGTTCATTAATAATATTTTTTTTATACTTCTAAAGACAATGTCCAAGTACCGTAACTAGGTCAAATTATAAAATTGTGAAGATAATTGCTCGTAAAATTCTTAAAATGCGATGCAGCACGCTGATTAAAATTTACACAAAAAGAGTCATTTAAAAAAATTATTAATTAAGGGGCTGTTCACTTATTACGTAACGCGAAAAAATGACTTCTTAGACCCCCCCCCCTCGTAACAAAATTTGTATGAAAAAAAATTTCCTTGTTTGAATCGTAACAAAATCTTAGACCCCCCCTCCCCCTAAAAGCGTTACGTAATAAGTGAATGGCCCCTAAGCAATTCTTTACATTTTTGCAGCAACTCTTTTATAGCATGACTTAAAATTACAAAAGTGATGGCTTTTAAAGAATTACAAGCAAGTTATTGCTGCAATATTTCATGCTATATTGATTATTATGTGAGCATGAATGTTGCTCATAAGAATCTAATTAGTTCCAAAAATAATCAGAAGCTTTAATGTTAAAACTTGGCAAAAGCTTTAAGATATTATCAAAAGCTTTCTTTAAAAAGCTTAAATTAAAATTAATAAAAAGCTTAGCAATAAATTTAAAGTATAGCGAAAAAAAAATTGAAGATGTTGCTGACCTTCCCAAAAATAAGAAAGGCTAATGAATTAAATATTATTTTTTTAGATCTTTAATTTATGGAGAAAACAATCTTCAAACATGGGGCTTAATTGTACTCTTGGTGTCAAAAGCCGTGGGACAATCACCAGAAGTACGAGATATGGAACAAGACAAAAGTGCTGGAGTTCTCATTTCACAGAGGACATTGGCAGAAGTTGTTGAGATGGTACGAACAGCAAATCTAATCCATAATGGTGTATTCAACCTCCAACATCTTCAAAATGCTGGAAATAATCTTTCATCTGATTCAGACATGATTTTTGGCAACAAAATTGCACTTCTGGGTGGTGATTATCTTTTGGGAAGTGCTTGTGCGCAGATCGGACGACTTAAGTAAGATTAATCATTTATATTAGGGGCCGTTCACTTATGACGTCCATGGGGGGGGGGTCAGCAAGAAAAGAACAATAGAAATTCCTGGAAATCCATTGTTCTTTTTTGAAAAATAACTGTTAATTTCGGACGTCATAAGTAAACGACCCTTTAAGCTCCTAAACAAATTTAATAAAGTCTCTATTGACTTTTTGATCCCATCGGTAAATGTCAATCGAAAGCTAATCTTGATGAATTCATTGACCCTTTTCAAAAATGAATGATATAATGCTGAATATTAAGTTCGATGAAATTTGCATAGAAATGGAAATTTTTGTGAATCCCTCAATTTTTGCATATATATATTTTTTGCAGTAGATGACTACGACTTAAGCCTTAGTATTTGATAAAATGCTTTTAGAGAGTCAAAATCATCATTTTATTGCTCATGCATAATCAAATTTTCAAAGTTATTCAGATAGACTTTCATAAGGATTTTCATGCACCTTACCTTGGACATTCGATTCTTAATATTTGCGTAGCATTGTTAAAAATCGGAAATATTTCAAAGCAGAAATTTAAATAGTCGTAAAGAAAACAGGAATTTTAAATTGAACATGTGTTGTTTTACGGCACGATGATTTTATTACAGATCAACGACATTTTTTGTGTCTATGAGAAACTTTGTGATTCTCATTGTATATCATCTCTGTTTTCATTCTAAAAATATTGGATTGTTCATTATCATATGAAGCCAATTTACCGGTTTTAAAGTACTAGTCGTTCATTATTGAATTGACTTATTAATTGAGGATATATTTATAATCCGGAAATTAAAGTTGCAGTCAAAATAATGCAAATTAATTCTCTTTTTTTTATAGAAATCAAGAACTGAACGAGCTGATGTGTACAGCATTTAGAGACATGGCAGATTCACACTTTATTGGATGTAGAGACACTCAAAATAATCCAATTCCATCAGATCCGCAAAAGAAAAAAGAAGAAATCAATTTACACAGTAATCATGATGACATTCCCGTTGATCTCATTGACAATAAGAAGCCATTCAGTTTGAAGGATGTTATGGGTAGTCCAGAAGATGAGTGGACATTAAGGCATACTTTAGCAGAAGGAACACTTCTTGGCAAGAGTTGTCAAAGCGCACTGCTGTTAGCTAAAAAGCCAGAAGATATGCAAAAGACTGCATATTTCTTTGGGAAACATTTGTCTCTCGCATGGCAAGCTTGCATGGATCTTGAACCATTCCGATTGAATGAATTGACATCAGATGCTAAATTTAGTTTAATATCAGCACCAGTTCTTTTCCATCTTGAGCATGATCCTTCAATTTATGAGGAAATCAAGAGAGGTACAGAATCTGTCAATGACATCGACTTCCAAAAACTGCATTTGGAAATTCAGAATGGACCTGGCATTGAAAAGACAAGAGAATTGCAAAGTAAACATTCTCTCCTTGCTATGACGGAATTATATAAATTTGCACCTTCAGATGCTCGAACAGCGCTCGAAAACATTATTATGGCGATGCAAGATAACTAATTCTATATTAACATAAAATATTCTACGATAAGCTTAACTGTTTAATGTGTACAACTTTTAAAGATATAACTTTTTTGTGCATCTTTTGAAGGAACAGCCATACTGGATTTTGACAAACCTTTTAAAATCGATTTTCTAATCAAGTTTCCAATTTGAATTCTGTTAAAAAGTATTTCAACATAAAGATCTTATCACCTTAATGCATTCACAGTGCAGATTTATATTCAAAAGTTTTCTAAAATTTACAAAATTTTTGCCGCAAAAAATTGTTGAATAATTCCATATTTTGTATCTTAATTAATTTGATATTTTGGCAAAGTTTTCACCGTCAATAAAATATTTATGAACTTGCAACTGTATTTGCAAAAAAAAAATTCAATACAAAGTTGAGATGAGCGCTAGACATCCACATATACAACATTTCTCCTTAAAAAAACGTTTTCTACACGTGTTATCGACATCTGATTGAATAAAATCGCGTATACCGCAAAAGAGATTGGAGGAAACCGGTCTCAAAATCTTCACTATTTTCAAAATCACACCAAAAATATTCTATCATCATGTATATAATCATATAGATATCGCTCCTAACACACATGGACACAAAAAGGCTATAAAAGACAGTCAATTCTTTGAACGAATTCCCAGTTGATAATCAATCGTGGTTTCGTGGCTAACGGAGACAAAAAGGATATCAAATAAAAGTTTATAGTTATTCATTCAAATGCATCAATGGATTGATGATTTAGTGATTTAAGAAATCGTAAAAATTATTAATCTGTGAACTGAAAAAAATCATAATCATATGTCATAAATACTCAAAATTGTAACAAAAAATTAAAATATTTAAATTGTGTTAAAAAAATCTTGTGAACAAAAAATAAAGGAATTAAAAAAAAATGGCTTTAAGGAAATTGTACTCATCAAAATCAGTTCTATTTAATGCAAGGAGATTTTCAGTTTCATCTTTTAAATGTAAAGAAGCTGTTGCATCTAAAAGTGAAGTTCGTCCAAATTGGGATCGTGCAATTGAAGATGCAGTCAAATGTGTAGGATATCAAACTCCTTATTTGACTTTGAGATACTTGACTAATGATAATGATGTGAATTGGTTCCAAAATATGGAGAAATTGGATCAATCTGATCATCCGATGCGTGATACAGCCAAGTAAGTTGAAATTTTGAGTGATATGGACTTTATTTAACAAGCCAGGGATCAATATGCGATTGAATTTGTTTGATTTGTTCAAAATTATGTTCAAAATTGTGAACCTTTACGGAAATTCATTTTCTATGCAACTCGAATTAAAACAAATTTGTTCCAATAAAGATTCAACTTCTAATTCAATACTTGATTTTTGATAAATCTACAGATTCTAAAATTTCGATTAAGTCATTAAAATTCAAATAATCAAAAATGTTTAAAGCTCCAAAAAACTTTCATAGATCCAGTAAAAACTTTATTCGCGGATGTTTTTATCACCGATATAGTTTCTATTATTATAAATTCCAAAGCCTGGCAACTATTTTTCTGTTTAAAATGAAAATGATTTTTTTGCTATGCTGATTATAATATCCTATGTAACCAAATGTCCATATAATCATTTTATTAGCTTGTTATGTCAAGCTTTTCACAAGTTGTATCAACTTCGTTGATGAATAAAGATCGCTTCTTCAACTTTAACCGTACACAGCTATCAGACTATGAAAATATGCATTAATCACAAACATATTTTACTACCAAAATGTCATGTAAAATTTTATTCATATGATTTATGCAAATCATTAGTAGCTCATTTGGCCATAATCATATAACTTGTTTCGCTAAGATCATCTCGTGTTTTGTGAGAATGATAATAAGATGCGAAGCATATTGGCACGCAAAACCTGTTCAATAATTAATAGACACCTGGGCATAGATGATTACTGTGCATTAAAAAATCTTAATTATTACAGAATTCTTTTCGCCCAAGGAAAGGCAAATGTAAATCAAATGTGGGGTCTAGTCGTTTTGCTCGTTAGTAAACTTGCCGGATATCCAACAACACACTTATGGAAAGAGACAGATTTTGATAGAGATACTGGAATTCTTAAATCACAAAGAATTCTTGCCGAAGCTGTTGAAGTTACATCATCGGCTAATGAGATTCACCGTGACGGAGTCTTGAATATGCAGCACCTTAATATGGCTGGAATGAGCTTGGATAATGACGATTTATTGATTTTTGGAAACAAAGTAAATTGAATCTGTTAATTGATAAATTTCAATCATTATTATTAATTTTTTTTCAGATGGCCATTCTTGGTGGGGATATACTGCTTGGATTCGCATCACTTCAAGTCTCAAAATTGAGGTACTTATTGTTTTATGAAAGATTTTAAATTTAGCGATAAGAGAGTGGATCATCACGTGAATCTTGAGTTTATACTTTCAATTTTATTTAATTTATGCAGAGAATATAACGCAAATGTGTTGTTGGCTACTGCTGCAAGAGATATTGCTGATTCAAACTTCATTGGTATGCAAATATTAAGCATTTAAGGAATATTCAAGTTCATGTGACTTTTTTTTTCGACAGGTGAACGAGATAATCAAAACAATCCACTGCCATCGGATCCATTTAAGAAATTTGAAGAACAAAAAAAGAATCCGAAAATTTTTGAAGAAGTTTCAAGTGATCAAATTGATAATACTCTACCTTTTAAGCTACACGACATTATGGGATCAGCTGAAAGTGAATGGAGATTACGACATACGCTTAGTGGTGGAACTCTTCTTGGTAAAATTTGTCAAGCTGCATTAGTAATGGGAAAACATGATGATGATAAGCAAAAGGAAATCTATTTTATGGGCAAGCACATGTACTTAGGATATCGTGCAGCAAGAGATTTGAGTATATTTAGATCTGATGAACTTCCTACTTCCGGGAAATTCTCACTTGTTAGTGCTCCACTTTTGTTCCATCTTGAAGAAGATCCATCATTATTTGAGGAGATCAAAAAAGGTTCAGAATCAATTGAAAATATCGATTTTGGTAAGATTCATGAGACTGTAAGAAATGGACCAGGAATGGATAAGACGAAAGAACTTTTGAGCAAAAATAATTTAATTGCATTTACGTTGCTTCATAAATTCCCAAAATCAGATTCTCGGCGAGCAATTGAGAATTTGATATTAGCATTAGGAAATTAAATAGCATATTTGGGTGAATCTTAAAGTTTCAGATGAAGTCAGCCCACCAAAGAATCATCAAATGAGAATGTTACGCAGCTATAAAAATGTTGAATAATCGCGGATATACTTTTCTCATGTTTACGTAAATATATATATTTTTTAATAAGATACAATCGGAAAGAAATAAGCCAACGGATGATGTTTAAAGTGATAAATAATATTTTTGGTGTAATCAACTGCTAACATTTCTAGTTTCTTTAAATAATAAAATATATTTTTAATTTATAATTATGCAAACTTAGTTCATTAAGCAAAAGATTTATTAAATAGTAAAATTAAATATTTACAAAGAACTTTCAATTTTTTTTCAATCTTCATTCATATCCATTAGTTTTTTGACTTGCAAGACAGTGACTGAATGTATTTTGTCATCAAATTTGCACATCACATTCTTACCATCAATTTGGAAATTATAGATTTGAGATAAATATTTTTCACGTACATAAACTGAACGTGGGTCGGATTGAAGTATTTCCTCAATTGATCTTTGATTGACATTGAGCTCTTTCACTTGTTGCTGGGAATTTTCAGAGAATATTACTTTCAAATATTTGCGTTCATTAATCCAATCAGGAACCTTTACATCATCATCATCTATACTATTTATTTGTGTAATAGATGATGTTGATGATGTCATTGCTGAATTTTCGTTTTCTTCTCCGTCAGGATCTTCTCTTGTCTTTACGGGAGTACCATTTAAGCTATTAAGTCCAGTCGATACAATTTTTTGTGGACTATCATATTGTGGAATGTAAGGCTTAATATCCAAAACAGGTGTTCCGTCAAGCATGTCAGTACCATAAAAATAAATTGTTGTACCTTCTACTCTGTCCAATTTGACAAGTGACATTCCAATGAGATTTGGTCGATGAGGACTTCTTGTTGCAAAAACACCGACTCCTTCACCTTCTAATCTTGGTGGATAAACTTTTGGTTTTGCATGCGATTCGTTCTTATGAAAGTTATAAATGATCCAAAAATGACTAAATTCATCTAAACTAATAAGACTTAATTCTGGATTTGAGAATAGATCCTTATTAATTTCTAATTTAGATTGGATTGTTCCAGCCACGCTTGCTTGTCTTGGAATCGCTCGTTTCTCTTTAAAAATTGTCTTCACATATCCAATGGCATTTAGTTTAAGGGAGTCATTGACCGGCTTTTCTACTTTCTTTGGACTAGTTGGTTCTTCCTCTTTTGCTGAGCATTCAGTACATTTAAAATCTTTCAATATATTTCTAATAGAAGCTATTTCTTTTCTATGGACATGATTTAATGAATTTAGTTGAGATCTAAGAATTCAAAATATAATTAGGCAAAACAGAAATTTGTGGGAAATCAAATTCTCACCTTAGATTTGATATTTCATCCCTAGCTACTTTCAGTTGTGCCTTCAGTTTTTCTAATTCACTTTCCATAATTTGACTTTCTTATAATCAGTACAAATGCATTCGTTGGGTGAAAAAAAAATCAATTTTAAATAAAAAGAATATGAATATTTTCCCCCAAAACAAATGCCGAGATACTCAATTTTCATTTAAAATAGTTTGAAAAAAATATGACGGTTATTTAATTTAACTTCAAAATCTCACAAGTGGTTCTTTTTTTGAAAAAATTATAATATTGTTCCGTAGGTTTTTAAGTTGACTAAATTTGACTGTGATGCAAGGATGCACTTAGCAGAAAGGATCTGAAACCATTTAAGAATTGAAATTTGTTTCTGTATCCAGAAACTCCATTTAAACACACATCCTCAATTACACAAAACCTGATCAAAAACTATAAAGCAACAGAGTTAAGTTTTTCACGACTATGTGCATCAATTTATTAAAAGTGAAAGCAATTCGAAATTATCCTTGACTGAATACAATATGGATTGTTATAAAATGCATACCAGAATGATGATAAAATTTCAGTTTAAGATTGATCGAATGAAGTATCGTGTTAAAAATAAGGACGGTCTTGCGTTACATTTAAATTATTAATAACTTATATTCCTTTGTTAAAGATTAGAAGTATATCCGAAAGTATAACATATCAAAACAAACCATACAAATACACAATGCGCTTTTCCAATTTACATCTCATTCTTCCGATGTGTTGATCTGCATTATAAAATCAGTCAAGGCTGATTAAGAAAAATATTTAGAATCACACTTTGAAATATGTTTAGACTTACGTATATAAATATATATTTCCAAAAATACATTGATAGTTCTAAAGCTATAAAAGACAGATCGGATTCTTGAAAATTCCCAGTTTAAAATCAAATCAAGTTTAGGAAACAAACAACAAAGAACAGTGTTTAATTTTCAAAAACAATAATAATAAGAAGGAATGACTTTGAATAAAATAACTTTTATAAGAACAATTTTTAATTCACAAAGTGCAAGAAAGTTTTCAATAAAATCTTCAAAATGTGAAGCAGTTGTATCTCAAAGTGAAGTGCGCCAAAGTTGGTATCAAGCAGTTGATGATGCTATACAATGTATCAAATATCAATCGCCATTTCCTAAACTTAGATACATGACAACCAATAAACATGTAAACTGGCTTAGCAATTTGGAGAAACTAGAAAAAATTGATCATCCACTCCGTGAAACTGCTAAGTACGTTAATTATTTGCTCTATAGATATTTCAGTAGCTAGTTCCTTCCATGCAGTATTAACCTTTGACAGTTTTGGTTATTTAATTATATTATATTTTCAAAAAATTTTGCATGTCATGGGAAATCCATTTGCCTGTTGCTAAACCTGTTTCACATGGTTATCATCATTTCTTTAAGTGGTGAATTAATTTTATGCATAAGTGCTTGAGATGTCTGTGCATATTTAACGATTTTTGTACCCTATTAATATGCAATAATTTTACAGAATTATATTCACTGAGAAAAATGCAACTGCTAACCAAATTTGGGGTATTGTGGCTTTGTTGGTAAGCAAACTTGCTAGCTACCCGAATAAAAATTTATGGAATGAAAAAGATTTTGACAAAGAAACTGGAATTCTAAAGGATCAGAGAAAGTTATCTGAATATATTGAATACTTAGCTTTTCAAAATGAAATACATCGTGATGGAGTTCTTAATATGCATCATTTTAATAAGAATGCATTGAATTTAGATAATGACGATCCATTGATCTTTGGAAACAAGGTAAATATAATCAAGGATACGGAATTGATCATTTCGATCAGTCCTACTCTTGAATAAAATAATTTGATTTCTAAGCAAATATTGATTGAGCAACAATTTCAAGATTGCAATACTTACTGGAGATATGATGCTCGGATTTCCTTCTTTACAAATTGCAAAACTCAAGTATTTATTTATAAAATAATAATTGGAACAAATATTGAAGTTTTAAATATCTTTAGAAATTATAAAGTAACAGCAATAATGTCATCGACTGTCACAGATACAGCAGACTTTAGTTTCCTTGGTTTGTTCTAATTTAATGATGTTTACAATTTTCATGCTGAAATATGTTATTCTCTGTAATAGGCGAATGTGATATTCAAAACAATCTCCTGCCATCTGATCCAATTAAGAAACTTGAAGAACAGAAACAAAATCCAAAAGTATTTGAGGAAATATCAACCGATGAAATTGATGTGATGTTGCCATTTAAAGTACATGACGTTATGGGAACAGCTGAAAATGAATGGAAACTACGACATACTCTTGGCGGAGCAACACGTCTTGGTAAAAGCTTTCAAGCACTTTTAATTCTTGCAAAGCACAACGAAGAGAAACAAAAGGAAATCTACTTTATGGGCAAGCACATGTACCTTAGTTATCGTGCTTCAAGAGATTTGAATATTTTTATATCCAATGAAGTTCCTTTAAATGGAAAGTTTTTACTTATTAGTGCTCCACTTTTGTTCCATCTTGAGAAAGATCCATCACTATTTGAGGAAATCAAGAAAGGTTCAGAATCAATTGAAAATATAAATTTCCATAAACTACATAAAATTGTAAGAAATGGACCAGGAATGGATAAGACAAAAGAACTTTTAAATGATAATATGTCGATTGCTCTTAATTTGCTTTACAAATTTCCAAAATGTGAATCACGAAAGGCAATTGAAAACTTAATTCTTGCATTAGAAAGTTAATTATTTTGTGATTTTTGTTCGTTTCTCAAAACATTGTTATTTTAAGATTTATTCCTTTTATTGCTATAAAACTAGATGATTATCTTTAAAAATCCAAAAATATTAATATTAAAGCAAAAATTAAAATAAACTGAACCGTGACTTTTGGTCAAAACAAACTATACATATACACAATGCGCTTTTCCTTTTGACATTTCTCCTTGTTCCTGTGTGTGAATAAAAATCTGCAATCGAATTGCCTTAAACCGGTCTCCAAAAAAGTATTTAGAACCACATTTTAAGAATATTTTAAAAAGCTATAAAAGACAGTGCATTCTTACTAAGAATTCCCAGTTTAAGATCAGAACGAGTTCGAAATAAACGGAAGGAATAGAACGTGCTGAAAATTGTAGCAATAATTTTTATTTATTTCCACTTCAATCAATCATTAAGTTCAACGACTGCGTAAAGTTTGGTTTATAAAAAAATAGGAAAAAAGTGAAAAATGGCTTTAAAAAAATTAATTCCAACTAGAAGAATCATTTCGAAAACACAAATTGGAAGGAAATTTTCAATAACATCATCAAAATGTGAAGAAGCTGTTGCATCTCAGAGTGAAGTTCGATTGAGTTGGGATCGAGCAGTTGATGATGCAATAAAAATTGTGAACTATCAATCACCATTCTTAAAGTTAAGCTACATGTCTACAGATAAAAATATCAATTGGTTTAAAAATTTAGAAAAACTGGAACAATCAGGACATCCAATGCGTGATACTGCGAAGTGAGTCTTATTTGGTTTCGGATATATTTTCATAGCTAGTTCCTCACTTATAGCCTTTGTCTATGATAAATTGCATTATTTAAATATTTATTTTATTGCCAAAATGTCAAAATATTTTGCAAATCATTGGAGATGACCATAATCATGAAACCTGTTTGTTGATCATCTTTTTCATTTTAACATTGACTATTTTGAGGAATTTCCAAAAATTTTAATAGCCTAGCAATTTTTTAAAATGTATTTCCATTTTTTTAAGGTTCCTGTTTGCTGAAGGAAAAACAAATGCGAATCAAATGTGGGGAATAGTAACATTGCTCGTTAGCAAACTCGCCGGTTATCCAATTACAAATTTATGGAAAGAAGATGATTTTGACAGAGAAACTGGGATCTTAAAGTCTCAACGAAATCTAGCTGAATATATTGAATTTATGGCTTCTGGAAACGAATTTCATCGAGATGGAGTCCTTAATATGCATCATTTGAATAAAGCTGGCATAAACTTAGATAATGATAGTCCACTGATCTTTGGAAACAAAATGGCGATTCTTGCTGGAGATATGTTGCTCGGATACTCATCATTGCAAATTGCCAAACTAAGGTAAATGATTAAAAAATGGCCTAAATTAATAAAATTGCTGAAATTCAGAATTTTCCTTGTTATGCAGAAACTATAAAGTAACAGCTTTAATGGCAGCTTCTGTTAGAGACTCTGCCGACTCAAAATTTATTGGTTCGTCTTAAATTGTTATTTATGAAATATGTATACTTAAATTTTGACTTATTATCATTACAGGAGACAGAGATATTCAGAACAATCCACTGCCATTTGATCCAATAAAGAAACTTAAGGCTCAAAAGCAAAATCCAAAAGTTTTTGAGGAAATATCAAGTGATCAAATTGATATAATGCTGCCATTTAAGTTGCATGACGTCATGGGAGCAGCTGAAAATGAATGGAAATTGCATCATACACTAGATAGTGCATCGCGTCTTGGGAAAGGTTGTAAAGCTGCTTTGATTCTTGGAAATCACAGTGAAGAAAAAAAGAAGGAAATTTATTTTATGGGCAAGCACATGTACCTTAGTTATCGCGCAGCTAAAGATTTGAGTATATTTAGATCAGATGAACTTCCTACTTCTGGAAAGTTCTTACTTATTAGTGCTCCACTTTTGTTCCATCTTGAAGAAGATCCATCATTATTTGAGGAAATTAAAAAAGGTTCAGAAACAATTGAAAATATTGACTTCGCTAAGATCCATGAAATTGTAAGGAATGGACCAGGAATTGTAAAGACCAAAGAACTATTAAGTAAAAATAATTTAATTGCACTGACATTGCTTCATAAATTTCCAAAATCAGAGTCGCAACGAGCAGTAGAGAATTTGATATTAGCATTAGTGGACGAGCATTAATGGATATATCGTAAGCTTATTTAAATAATATTTACTTTGGGGGGGTGTGGGAGGTCTAGTAAAGGAGGCCATAGCAATTTGTTCATTATTTACGACTGTGAAAAAAAAAGTAGGCACTAAAGTTTTACAGCCTTGAAATTATCACATGTACAATTTTAGAATCTCAAAAAATTAAATAAATAAAAATGCGTAGTTTATAAAAATAAAGTTGTAAATTCACATTTTTACAGTTTCAATATTTTTTCTAAGAATAGACTGCTTGAAAAAATAAAGCACAGCTGTTTAAAGATCATTTTGTTCTATGTTGTAGATAATGATATTCAAGTTTAACATAATAAAGTTTGGAGAATTAACATTTATATTTTTGAATAATGACTTACAATGTAGAGCCCTAATTTCTGACGGAAAAGCAAATGGAAATCAAATTTGGGATAAAATAACTATACTAGTATGCAAAGTTGTCTATCTAGGTGAATATATTGAATTTATGGCTTCTCAAAACGAATTTCACCTTAAAATGCATCATTTGAATAAAGCTGGCATAAACGTTGATGTATGGAAACAAAATTTCCCCAAAATTTGCCTTTAAATTGTCATTTTGTTGTGTAGGCATCATCATTCAGACTCATTTAACCTGTGATTTTCACAAACATGACAAATTCAATTTTTTTGCGAATTTTTGCGAACAAGCATCTTAAAAAAAAACTTGATTTTCCGGGAGAATTGAAGACGTAATCAAAACCACACACAACTGCGGTTTTATGGAATAGTTCTAAGTCTTACTTGAAAAAGCCAATATGCCTACTGCAGAAAGAATTCCAATAAACCGGTCTCTGACAAAAATAAATTTGGAATCACAATAAAAAATATTCTAGAATACTATTATAGCCATCTACACCACTATAATATTGAAAATGTTAACGCAATAAGAAGCAGTGCGTTCATTCTGCGTATTCTTAGTTGAAGATCAGACGAGTTCAGTACAAAATAAGGTAGAGATCAGCTCCTCAATTTCATCCAATTCCTGTTAAGCCGGCTCCAGTGGTGAATCACAAAATATAAATTAAAAATGACATTGAGGAAATTATTTTCACCAAGGTCAGTTCTGTGCCTTAAGCAAAACACAAAGAAGTTTTCACTTTCATCTTACAAATGTGAGGAAGCTGTTGCAGCCCAAAGTGACTTTCATTTGAGTTGGGACTATGCAGTTGAAGATGCAATCAAATATGTCAGATATCAATCGCCGTTTCTGAAATTAGGCTACATGACAACTGATAAAAATGTCAATTGGAATAGAAATATTGAAAATTTAGAAAAGTCTGGACATCCAATGTATGAAACAGCTAAGTAGGTTTAAAATTATTTTGTTATTTGAAGCACATGTTTTTTTTGAAGAATCAAATGACTGGAACTAGATTTTATGCATATCATTTGAATATAATCAAATAACCAGTTGTGACCAAGATCTTCTTCTCTTCTTTTATTTTCTTTTTTTGGACAATTTCAAGTCTAATGTCAAGATTCTGAAGGCTTCACGATCAATGCACTCGATTAATATGCACAATCTAACTTTATGTTTCAGAATTTTATTAGGAGATGGCAAGGCCAATGTCAATCAAATTTGGGGCATTGTGATATTGCTCGCCAGCAAACTAGCTGGATATCCATCAACTTATTTAAAGAATGAAGAAGATTTTGACAGAGATTCTGGAATTTTAAGAAATCAACAAAAGCTGGCTGAATATATTGAATTTATGGCTTCTGGAAATGAATTTCATCGAGATGGAGTTCTTAATATGCAACATTTTCATAAATCTGGAATGAATTTGGATAATGACAATTTGTTGATATTTGGCAATAAAATGGCAATTCTTGCTGGAGATATGCTTCTTGGATATGCATCACTGCAAATATCAAAAATGAGGTGATTATCTGTATTTCATATTAATTGATATTAATTTTATTAAATCTTACTTAATTTATATAGAAACTATAAAGTAACTGCGCTGGTTGCAGCTTTTGCCAGAGATATTGCTGAATCAAATTTTATTGGTATGTTTAAAACATTCAAGTTCTAAATGTTTGAACTTAATACTTATTGTCATTACAGGTGAGAGAGACATCCAAAACAATCCACTGCCATCTGATCCAATAAAGAAACTTGAAGTACAGAAAAAGAATCCAAAAATGTTCGAGGAAATATCAAGTGATCAAATTGATATAATGTTGCCATTTAAGTTACATGACGTCATGGGAACAGCTGAAAATGAATGGAAACTACGTCACTCTCTTAGCGGAGCAACACGTCTTGGTAAAAGCCTTAAAGCTGCTTTAATTCTTGGAAATCACAGTAAAGAAAAACAGAAGGAAATTTATTTTATGGGCAAGCACATGTACCTAAGTTATCGTGCAGCTAAAGACTTGAATATATTTAGATCAGATGAACTTCCTCCTTCCGGAAAATTCTCCCTAGTCAGTGCTCCACTTTTGTTTCATCTTGAGGAAGATCCATCATTGTATGAGGAAATTAAAAAAGGTTCAGAATCAATTGAAAATATTGATTTTGGTAAGATTCATGAGACTGTAAGAAATGGCCCAGGCATGGGAAAGACAAGAGAACTATTAAGTAAAAATAGTTTGATTGCTTACACGTTGCTTCATAAATTTCAAAATTCTAGTTGCCGAAGAATAATTGAAAATTTATTATTTTCATTAGAAAGTTAAAATGTAAGGCATTAAATTAAGGCAATAGATTCGTTGAAAATATTGTTGCTTGAAGTGATAATAAAAGATTAATGCAGTCAAAATATTTAAGTTATATATATTTGAAAAATGACAATCTAATGTTTTTTCTTGATTTAGTCAAAAAGTGGAAATATGGAGTTTAAAGAACAACTTAGAATGTTGTGAATGAATCTTGAGAATGCTTTTAGTGAATGAATCTTTCCTGAAAATCAAATGATACTTAAATCACTTAAATTAAATAGTTCTTTGGTTCTTTCAATGTCTTTGGAGCTTACAATTATTTCTATGGTACGCCAACGAGTCCTTATTTTCGATATTGAATTTTTTTTGGGACCTTATTTTCGAGCATAAGTTCAAATTTTTTTCACACGTTAAATTATTAATGTGTAATATCTCTAATTAATAGTTTAAATATTTGTTTTTCATCATCAAAATGTTAAACGAATCCACTCAAATGTAATGAATCATTACTGATTTACTAAACAATTAGTGCAAGTGAATTAATAACATTTTTATTTCCAATGTAAACAACAAAAAAAATTTATAATATTTTTGAAAAAAAAGCATTTTAAACTAATGTTTGCTGCATTTATCACCGATTAGACGATTAAATTAGTGTTAAAAGACATAGTAGAATGATTTAATTCTGTAATCATAAGTAAATTAAGTCAAAAATTGCGAAAAATTGAAATTTTCATAAAAAAAAGTTTTTCGAAATTGCGAAATTTTGTTCGAGAAACGAGTTTGAATTTATTTCGAATCAACGTTGACAACGTCTCTTGGCACATCATAGAATTATTTTATTCATTACAATTTATTTAAACATTATTTTTAAATGTATTCTGATGATTTTTGTTATAAATAGCAATAAATACTGACAGCTAACATAAATATAGAATAAATTACATTACAATGAGAAATTCTTATTGATTCACATGCATAATCTATTGACTAGAATTGTTTGATCATATCCGATCAAATGCTTTAAAAATTATTTAGTGGATAGTTAAAGTTTATGAAATGCTTTTGATGAATAATTTTGGAGAAATATTTCTATCCATTTTGCCTCTTTCACATCTGTTATTCTTTACGATTTTACTCATCATCGAGATTAATGTGAGCTTTCAATATATCTCCTGCGATAGGAACAAAAAAATATTTTTTTAACTTAACTCAAGTGCTGTATATTAAATAAACATTAATATGTAGAGTTTAGATGCTGTGTGTTAATGTGTTGTATTGCTGTAAGTTAATTGCATAATAATATGTATGTTTTGTGTATCGTGTTATCTTGGCAGTTGTTTATTCTTTTAATTCCATTTTTTTCATGTTTGTTTCAAAATGTAAGGAGATGTGTGTATGTATGTGTGTGTGTTTGGGAACTAATCATCATAATTCATACCTAATTTATGTTTTGACCACATACATTCGCAATTACTGGAGATTGACTTCGAATAAGGAATCCAACAATTTTCATTTACTTCACCCGGTGCAACTTTTAATCTCCTGCTTAGATGTAAAGTTGAATTTCCTTGAATACATTCGCCGTAATTTTTCCTACAAACTCTATTGATTGAACGATGGTGATTTGTATTTGCCTTTCCTGTGTACGGATGTAGACCTAAAGAATAAAATTTATTTTAGTTCCTTTATCCTTAATGATGTACCTGTAGTAAGTCACAATTGATATTATCTACATAAACTTACAGGAAACTTCCATAAATACATTCGGGCTGTACTCGTACTCTTGCTCAAAACTTGGATCCTGACTGATAATAACTACTCTTTTAATAGATGGACATATGTTTTGGAATACTTCAGGTTCCTTTGATTGTCGTGGTAATTTAGGAACTTCCTCATTCGCATAAATTTTCTCCTGTGTCTCATAATCCTCAAGTACAAAATCTTGAAATGGAGAGTCATTAGAATTGATGGCAATGAGAGGTGCATCATTTTGTTCTTCATAAACTATAGATTCGGGTTTTGGTAGCATTTCACCAAACCATTCAGGTCGTGGACGGAATTTCGACTTCGTTCGGTGTCCAATAAATCTCTGTTGCCCCATGACTATACTTATGAGTGTCATCATTACTATCTGAAGATTGCAACAATAAATAAAAAGAAAATTTTAAATAAATTTTTATTCAGCAACAAGAAAATACAGAAATTATACATTGTGCTGCTATCATTCGACACGTTTACATTGCGGACGAAAGGAAAACGAGCACATAAATTGTGTCATGAATGAAGAACACCATAGAGAAGAAGGTAAGTAACTATTGCATTGCGGTTTCAGGATGAAAACACCTAAATCATGTAATTGCAATTTCCACAGCATGAACTTTTTCTCATGCTATACTAGAAGCTTTAATGTACGATACGATACAAAAGGAGTGTGTATATGCAGCTAGTTAGTATTGATTGTCCTCAAAAAGCCACTAGAAATGTGTTATAAATTGTTTATGGCAATTATTCAATTTACGCCATTCAATTTACCTGATTTTGTATTTGATTGATTTGATAACGCAGCAAGTGGCCCTTTTACGTATTTGTATGACTTGATGACGAAAGCCACATATAATCGCACTGGTAAATAAACACATACAGTATTTAGGAATTACCATCAATTTTATTTCCTCACTCTCTCACTCAACTACACGCGTAACTTTCATGCATTTTCATGCCATTACCAATCGTATGATTTACGAAGTAGAGCGCACACAAAATGCTAAATTGAGAGTAAAACGTGCCAGTCGAGAATTTTATTGTCAACATTTTTTCCTACATTTTTATGATACTATTTTTTTTTGCCACACCACATTCAATGCCTTGGTGTATAAACGTGTATGCTGATATGCCGACTTGTGATAAATGGACTCTTGATTAAGCCATACTCTATTTATTGAATGGATGTTCTTGGAAAGCCTTATCGAAATGGTTAAAAAAATGGATTATTCGCTTATTCTTGCTGCAATTTTTGTCACGTTGGAGACACTTTTTTCTGAATCTCCTATTAATTGCTTGTGTGACATAATTCTTCTCATGAAATTGAATGTTGAATCTATGAAGGAATAAATTGACTCATCTGGCTTATCAATATCCTTAGGGAAGTGTTGTGTATTCACAAGTTTTCATGAAATACGTTACGGATGAATTAATTACATGCATGGATGCACATGTATGATTAATTTACATTTTTTAACAACCTGGATTTATGTATTTTTAGCTACAGCAATTGAGTTGGACTGTTCTGAGATTATTGGAATCAGGAAGTTTTCAAAGGTATTAATAAGATTGAATTATGGCTTCTTTAATTTGGAAAGAAAGGTTGATAGAGTCTTAAATGTTTTTTTAAACTAAATAAATAAACGATACTATAAGGGGCCATTCACTTATTACGTAACGCTTTTAGGGGGAGGGGGGGGGGTCTAAGATTTTGTTACGGTTCAAACAAGGAAATTTTTTTTTCATACAAATTTTGTTACGAGGGGGGGGGGGGGGGTCTAAGAAGTCATTTTTTCGCGTTACGTAATAAGTGAACAGCCCCTAAAGTCTTTATCAAATGTCAATTTCAAAAAATGGACAGTCTCTTTAATATGATAGAACAAGCCAAACAACTTTCTACTTATAATTTTAATTAAATAATGAAGTGAGGCATTCCATTATGATTTCAAATGTTATAAAAACAATGCAAAAGTTTGTTTTAATTAAATTTTTAATACCCATAAAAACAAACCAAAGGATTAAAGTGTTTGCTGCTGCCATGTTGAGTTTACATTATTATTAAAATATGAAAATTATGGAATTTATAAATCAGATCATGGTCAGCTGCAATGGCTTTTTGAGCACAATTTAAAGGCATCGATTTAGGTACGTATTGAACAGTCCTTCCATCAAATTTCTCTTAAATTGTCATTTAAAATTCCTAACTGCACCTACATAAACTTGTCACGTGCTGTTGCAAACGCAATAGTGAGATAGAAATGCACGGGAATTGTCAATAGAAAAAAAAATGTTGAGGATATAAAAAATCGCAAATAGAAAGCACAGTGAACTGCATTTAAATATTCACTCTCGTGTGTACAGTATTGATTGATTTGAATATGCAGAATGTTGTGAAAAAATGCTATTAAAGTGCCATTCAAATCGTGTACGTCAATGCAAAAAAAAAGTGAACGAGCAGTGAAGTGATAGATTGTCAGAACATGCTAGGATAATGCTCGATTTTCAAAGTGGCTGATGGAAAATGTTTTTCACCTCATTTGTGCGGTGTTGTTGGAAGCACTCGTGGGGTAGAAAAAAAAGTTTAAATGCACTTAATTAGCTTTTGAATTGGAAAATTGATATAACGAAAATTTTTGCCTCGTCTTGAACATTTTCTTGTCGTATTTTAAAACAATTCTAGTCTTCGAGCAAGTTCCTTTCCATATTCACTATTTTATCAGCATGTCAACAACGGAATTTTTATATATGATATTTTCTACTTCATACAAACAAAGTGCAAAAATGAAATTAAATAAATGCATATATTATATAGTTGGAGAGGATGGAAATGCAAATCGAATATCTCGTGCTACCACTGATGCTGCAGTCTAGGGGAGGAAATCTATTGGAGATGGAGGTGTGCAATCAAGATAGAACAAGTCAATCTTTTTCGAACATCCTCAATTAAAAGGTTGAGATGCTTTAGCTTCATATTAAGGAAATAGAGGCAAAGGATGATTTGAATTGCTTCTAATGCATGACGATGATTCTTTTTTTATATCCCATGACAAATTACATTCAATTCACGAAAAAAAGCTTGGAATAAATTAAATATTCAGGAAGCATAAAAGCTTGAGAAATTTCCTCAACTTTTCATCCCTAGACTGCACCAGCTACTGCTTTTTCCTTCACACATTTCGTGAATAAATTTATTGCATGCAATGGAGGAACAATTTATTTAGATAGAATGAACGAATGTGAGCGTGAAAGAGAAGAAGCGAGAAAAAATGTAGCTTTCGAGTTTGAATCATGTTTGAAGCTACCTAATGCACACACACACACATGCGATTTGCACTGGTTCATCCAAACACAAATATTTAATTAAAAAAAAGAGAAAAGTACTTTATTTGAATGAAGCGACTATGAAAACCGCCATGAATTAAGGATGAATGTGTTTGATGAACATCATACAGTATAAAAGAAAGAACAGATTTTTATGTAGCACACATATCATACATTCGTTCGATGTAGATAGCTCATATTGTATGAAAATAACATGATTGCTACATATTTTAAAAGAGTGCAGAGTTTTGCATGAAATTTTACATGCATCATAGTCCTACATATAGCATCTCTCAATTCCTGATTCGTTTTTTTTTATTATTGCATATGAAACTCAACATAACACATAAAGGATATAACCAGATTCGCACATGTATGAGAAATAAAAAATTTTTAATGAAGAGAACGAATGATGCATGTTAATTAAATTTCAATGCAGATTGGATATAGACAATATGGGGGTAGAAATTTTATAAGACTTATAAATCATTCATATGACGATGAAAATGAAATTGCTCGTAAACGATACAGCATGGAAATTTTAAAATTATCATCATCATCATCATTCATTAGCAATTAGAGATTAAGTACGGTAGATATTAATCACATGTGAATTATGGATAAAAAGGCTTTGATATCGCAAATCATTTTCTATATTGTAATCAGCTTGTGATTTTTTGACGATAAACTGCTTTTGTTTGCAAGTGACGTACATTATTAAATACACTTTGTTGGATTTTGTTATGTTCCTACATAGAGTACTTGTAATGTTTATACGCAACGATTGGATTATAACATGTAATCCAATTGCATAATTTTTTGCAATTGTTACTTTTATGTCACGTATGGTTGTGTGGGATATGACAATTTAATTATCGACCTACATGCTGGCATATTTGATGAATTTAATTAGGGTGATTTAAGATGGTAAAAGTGATTAAAGGTAGTCGCTGGCCTTAATGCTGTATAATTTAATCAAAGCTATTGTCCTAATCATTAGTCACTTCTATAATAGATAGTGTAGAAGGTCTGCACATGAAAAATACTTGAATTTAGTTTTCCCAACAGCATCTGCACCTCTAAATCCCAAGCTAATGAAAAGCGTTCAAATATATTGATTTCTTCAACTCTTCAACTTCTCTCAATATAAATCCTGTTGCATGCCTTTTGTGGAAATTGAAAAATAAACTTTTTTTCATTTCATTTTGAACACAATTTTTTTTCTGCTTATTTTGCGGGTTTTCTTCGCCACAAATCGGTAGAACATTTAAAACAGATTTTTCCCATATTAAAATATGCAAAAAAAAAAAAATTCTGACACATTTTTCGTAGAAATAAAAACTTTTTTAATTTTGAGAGATTTTTTCTCAGTTTGCGGAAATATTTTCCATGCCATGACAAATAAAAAAGAGAGAATCAATTGGACTGGCTTAATTAAAAAAAATATTATTCCATAAATGAGAAGCATAAAAATAAAATCATAAAATGAATGTCGACAGCTCTTTATCAAAATTATCTGTTGTGGCAATTCATATTTAATTAATAATAAGTAAATTTATTTGTCATGAAACCACATGTTCATCAATCAAGGTTACTTATGTAGGCATATTTTCACATTATATCTCCTTACCGAGAAAATTCCATCCATGCATGACAATAATGCCACATATCAGAACATTTGGAAGCATTTTATGGTGCAAAAAAAAAATATCCATTTATAAATGTTTGTAAAAGATTAAAATTTATAACCATTGCTCCTCTTCATATAGAAATATATTGCCCGCAATATACCAAACAATTGCGTCCTGTACACAGGTGTATAATTAAACAATTTATGACAATTTTAAAATTTTTACATTCATTTATTTTTGTTTACTTTAATTATTGTTAAAAGGACATCCACTTGTTATGGACTGGATTTTTTTGGGTCGTGATCCTCAACGCTAAAAGGATCCAAACCTTAATCTCAATTTTTATTTTTTAAGGGCAAATATTAAAAAAATTTCAATTTTAATGGACGTCATTAATGAATGACGCCGTACGGTAAATGGGAATTGAGATGAAGGCATTATAATTATGGACAAATTATGGATATGTAGTTGTGGACCATTGAGACATGACCGATATGTAGACGACTTTTGAATTTTGGTTTGCAATTATTGGACTTATGACGCTAGGGAAACTCTTTGATCCTCATGAGATCAATGAAATGGAAAATCAGCTTCCGTGTGGTTTTATACTTAATTACATCTACTTATTGGATATACTGAGAAATTTCTGATTAATTATTTAACAGGAGCAATAATTTGATAGCAGCACTTTTAATAACTCTTGACACTTGAGTATTATGCTGGATGATCTTATCCAACAAAATCAAAATCCATATGTCACACGGGAACTTACCAAATATCCGTAATTATTCATCGTATATTTTTTTAAAACTGTTTTCTCTCGTCACTTCCTCAATTAATTTAAATTATGTTAATTTTTTTAAAATTATTGTTTAAATATTAACAGTCTGTGAATATTATTAAAATATGAAATTCAGCACCAAAAAAAAAAATTTTTTATTTTGAGAGTCACTAATTTTGTTTTCTTTTCTGAGGTGTCACTTTTGATTTGTCAACGATAACTGAATAAATTAGCTTTGATAAACTGTGCTTTTATAGCACGACTGTTATCATGATTGTCATTGTATTTGCAATGATTAAAAAGTTGTTTGTAGGAGAGTGCTTAGGGAAAAAAATCACATTGAAAATGGATAGACTCACCAAAAAAAAGAACTGTAAAGAAGCCGGTGAGAGGGAGAATTGGAATAGAAAAAAAAAATCCCTTTTAACTCCATAGTGATAAGCTGTTATCGCCTGCAATTTATTCTCAATGAGAAAGAATTATTTCGAGTTTATGTTAATTATTAGTAATTGATTATAATTTATCGCGCTCAATTAGCTCAATGCCTAAAAGTTGATCGATGAGTTTATAATAAAACAGTCATAAATAAACCATGCATAATTAATGAGGAAATTGCGATGCAGAACCTCCGTTCATAATTTTATCGACTATCAAAAAATCCTCAGAGTTTTTATCCTGACGCTCTTCCATCAGCCATGATAATCCTTTTGTAAGAATTAGCAACAGGTCAACGCAGATCTGTATCAGAACCCACAGATGACTTTTTAATTAATTTCTATTATTAAGCACTGTTGCTGTAAGCTTCATGATAAAGAGCATAAAAAATGAATGAAAAATGTAAGTAAAAGAATAATCGCGGATGATGTACGTTTGCGGTGTGGATGAAAAATTGTGAAATAATGTGATACAAAAAAGATTTCATGGTGAGGCTCCGGAAACTCAACATGTGTTTTATATGCTTCTTTGGTGTCATTGTCAGTTAAAGTTTAAAACGGTTACAAATTTGACATGACAGAGTTAAGTGATCTGAACTTGCTTAAAGTATTTTTTAACTGTTAAATTTAATTCGAATTTTGTATGAAATGTTTGTAGTTTAATGCCCCTTTTTGTTGTCATTTTGGACTTGATGTCATGAAATCATGTAAAAAAGTCATTTCTATGCACGTAAGTTGAAATTACGTGGAGCAATTTTCGATAAGAATTAAGTACCTACTCAGGCTAGAAATCTAAGCAGTATATCGTCAAAAACAACTGAAATACCTCTGATACCGGCACTTTGAATCACTTATTTCCTTTTATTAATTTCTGAGTATAGTAAATCATTCTTTTGGGACTTCAAGCTTAACATAAAGGTAACCTTTATCTCAAACAATTCCAATCTGCTGAAAAATCCAGGTACGAAACCCAAACTGAATTGAATACCGTAATAATTCTTTCATAATTGAGGTAAATTGTATGGGAAGTTCTACAGCTACGGCTGATCCCTATTTATTGTGTACAGAAAAAGAAAGGATCAACATTTCATCATCCTTTCCATTCTAATGAAATAGCTTGACTTTTTATGTAGATTTTTTCACTCACTCCCCGCTGACCACGATCAAACAAATGAGACAGGACACCGCTGGTGTCAGTGTATTGAAAAATGTGATGCGCCTGTGTTCATAAATTTTCAATTAAACTGTAATATAAATGATTCACTTGGATAATGTGGGTTAACACGCGTTCGTCTAATACTTTTGGCGCCAAAAACCCTTTTTTCCGGGTTCATAAAAAGTCACAAAAAATGAAAAGTTAATAAAGATATGAGACATGTCTACGTCACAATTATGAAAGTGAAGTACGTAATCTGGAAATAAATGCTTTTATGATTTTGATTAAAGCGAAATCATAAAATAAAAAAAAAATTCAAAAATAAATAAATCATAAATTATCGGGGACGTCACATCGAACGAAACATTCCGCAAATAGATTGCACTGATAAAATCGATAGGTCGGGGACTGAAATCTATTTTTATTTATTAGACACTGATAATCAATATTTGAGCACAATAAAAATAGACTGTGATGTAATGCCATATCTTATTGAATGTCAATTCATTGTAAATTGTATACATATGAGTAATGGCAAACAAGTATGCGGGGAATGCAGATTATCGATTGAATTGCAAATATTTGACTCACATCGTTTATTGGACAGTGAGATTGCATAAATATACTGAAAAAATTACCATGACGTCATTCTTTTTTTTGTTGCATAAAAAGTAATTGAAAGAGCTTAATGAATGGTTGTTAAATCATCAACGGCTTCCTTCCACTTTCATGCTTCTTTTTTCCCTTTTTGAATGGAAATGAAACAAATGAATGAGAATTGAGGAGCATAAGTGAAGAGATGATGATGTTGTATGAAAGTGTTCGCTGCATTGTTTTATAAAGTTGAATGGTGAGATTTTTCTCGTTACAGAAAAAGGACTGTATTTGGTAGGGGGCTGTTCACTTATTACGTAACGCGAAAAAATGACTTTTTAGACCCCCCCCCCTCGTAACAAAATTTGTATGAAAAAAAAAATTTCCTTGTTTGAACCGTAACAAAATCTTAGACCCCCCCTCCCCCTAAAAGCGTTACGTAATAAGTGAATGGCCCCTAGTGATTGAGCTGCTAATTTCCTTTAAGTTAAAAAAGCTCAAAACATTTTAAATTTAACTAGAAACTAGAATTGTTAAGGCTATTCAGTGCACCATACTCACCTTATTCTCTAAGCTAGGCGACTCTACCTATTCCACCCTTTTACAATCCAAGATACTCTGACTCATAATCGATATAGATATATTTTGTTTCTAACATCAGGATATTCTGTCATTCGTAATATTTACAAAGCATGGAAAATTATGTTCATCATGCTGCTCGTCCAATTAAAGCTCTTTTTTTTCGAGCCTATCTAAAAATCCACACAAAACCGAATTTCGCTCAGAAATAAAGCTGAAAATTTGCTTCAGGAAATTTAATTTTTAAACAATTTTCTTCTTCATTGTTGCTTTCTTTCCATTCTGTATTGCCGGCATTCATTAGCTTTTCCCCAGATGACAAGACAGGAAGCTAAAAATGAAATAGAAAGTCATTTAACTTCGGGCACTTTAAAGCACTAGGTCATGTTAATTTTATTCACATATTCACGGTCGGTTGGAGATGCAAATGTTGATCCTGTAAATTGTGATTGTATCAAGTCGGTGTAATGTCGAAATAATTGAAAGGAACTAGCCATTTTCCATTTGAAAATTTTTCGAATCATTTTCATTTATGCATAATTTAGGAGATAATGCTAACCGTTAATGTTTAAAAGACTCTTAAATTTCGCAGTCATTTAACTGCCTATGGCACTTCCCATCTCACTCAAAACTTAATTTCCACCTGCTCAAATATTTATGAATTTTTTTTTCTCTTCTCTTTTTCACATTACAAGTTTGCCTCTTGTCGATTTCATCTCATGAACAAGTTTTTTGTACTTTTTATGAACGTGTTTACCAAAAGTCTGTAGGATTTCTCGTTTCCAAATAATTAGATTCGTTTTATGTTTTGAAATGAATTTATTTTATTCCGGAATTTTTAGTCTGTACTGTGGCGTTCATAAAAAGTGCCTAAAGCTAAATCGACAGTGAAAATAACGGAAGCTTTGATATAAGGTCAAATTAGTAACTGTAAGTGAGAGATTCATAAAAGACAGAATCACAATTTTTATGTCAATAAAAGCACAAAAAACATTTCTTTGTTACTTCTTTTTTTTTATGTTTTTGTTGGAATTTCTGTATGTAAACATTTTTATGTGTATACCTGATAGAGGAGGAGATGTAGATTTTTTTTGTTGTTGCTAGTAAATTGCAAGAAGCTTTTTGTAAAATTGTATGCTGAATATTTTATGATAGTTTAACCGAGGAATTTATTTTTTGCATGAGTAAGTATTTGAAGATCTTTTTTTTTATTGCATCATGAAACTAGCGGGAGGCAATGCTTATTAAATCAGTTTGGTAAATAAAAGCGCATTTTTCAATGAATAGCTTTTGGATTATTTTGTAGAGTGCTCTTGCTCAAGTGTTTAGTAGGGTATTGATGAATATCACTTGAAAATTGCTGTTTGAACTTAAATTTTAAACTATAGAGCTTGAACTTGAATGTTTACTTGAATGCAAGTTCATTTCAAATTGCTTCTTTAGAAAAGCTTTCGAACCAGAAACTTTTGTTAAATTGTTCTGTACTGATTCGGTTCCAATCATTGATAGTTTTCTAAAAGAACCAATTTAAGGGTAATTCATTCATGATGCTCATCTTTCCTCTTGCCAAAGAGAAATAGGGAAACTAAATGAACGATCTATTAGCTCTGCATGTCTAGCAATGAAAAACCTCTTGAAAAAATAATAATTGACATTCCAAACTGACAGATTAGCAAGCTCCCTAAGATTAATTCCGAAAAAAACAATCTAAATGTTTGTGATATAATTTCACATACATGTGTCCAAATGCTTTATGCTTATTTATTTTCTATTCTGTTTCTATTCGCTTCATGCAAAAAAGTGTCAACAACTTTGCTAAATTTTTATCTATTTGTATCTATTCAAAGCATCTCCATCTCCATAAAAAAGAAGAATGCGAGAAAAAGTTGGATCTATATATAGCACAATATCCAACTATTTTTCTCATTTCATGAAGCATTTTCTCAACATAAATCACATTCCCGAGCGGCACACAAGCGTCATATGACGGTCATATGATTGTCATATGACAGTCGTCATCGTCATAAAGACGTCATGAATGACGATCATATGATCGTCATATGATGATAAGACGTCATCACGACATCGTCTCGATTCGATTTATGACCCCATATGATGGTCATTTGACGAAAAATTCGTCACTCGACGATCAAATGAAAACGTCATTTGATGGTCATATGACGATCAAATGACAAAATTACTATGGCGAGACGACGAGCATAAACCGTGATATATATGCTGAATTTTGACTGAAATAATTTTTTAAAATTTAACGAAAAACGTGTTAATTTGTGTAGAATAACTCTGAATACTATTTATTTTATATTATATACATAAGCCATTACATTTAATATACTTCATTAATAACAATGGCTTGATAATAATTATAGATTAATAATGATAGACTATTTTCTTGATATTCTTGATTTTTTTTGCTCATTTTCTTGATTTTCCTCGTAATTAAATCGGTTTTGATTAGTCAACTTCA